GAGTCATGCAGGTGGAAACAGTCTATAATATAGACTTGATTATTATGTGGACATTTGTAAATGTGGGGATGGAGCCTAGTAAGTTCAGTAACAAAAAGGGAGTTAAAAAATTCCACAATGACTCAGCCTTAACATTAATTTTCTTAATTTTAAATTGTGCTTATCTTATCTGTACCCATCTTCCAAATGTAATCTTGAAGCACTAACCAATTGATAATCTTTTCACTTACCAATGAAAATATTTCTCCATGTTGTTTTACAATCTCCACAGTTTTGGTATCAACATATCATATATAATAAAGGGTTAATAATTTTAATATATAATACTATCTTTTTAACCAACTTATTTGATGGTCTCCAAAGATTTTGGTTAGAGGGTCATTGCCCCCTTAAAAAGTCTGACGTTTAATTCCATATGCTTAAATTTTAAAAACTCTAAAGTTTACTGAATTTTTCATAATATGTGCCAGCTGTTGGCTAAATTCTTAATAGGTGCTATCTCGTTCAGTTCCCAGTTAACAATCCTGAGGGAGGTTCTATTATTAGTTTCATTCTGCAGATAAAGGAAACTAGGTCTGAGAACTCAAGGTACTTTCCCAATCCATCAAGGAATAGCAGAATTGGTTTGAATCTAGGTCAGTCTGACTTGGAGTTCCACGATGGAGGGATGGATACATACTTTATTTATTTATTTAATGTTTTTATTGATTTTTTAGAAAAGAAGGGAATGAGAGATCGAAATATCGATCGGCTGCCTCCTGCATGTCTCCCACTGGGGATGGCGCCCACAACCTGGGCATGTGCTCTGACTGGGGATCAAACCCAGACCTCTAAGTTCTTGGGAGGACTCAATCCATTGAGCCACACAAGCCAGACATATATATACTCAATTTAATAGTGGTTACCTACAGTGACAGGATTTCAGATGATCTGAATATTCTTTTTTGTTTTTTTGGATTATCTACAATATGTGTTTTGTAATGAGAAAAATAGTTATTAAAAATGTCTTTTTGAGAGTTAATTCCTTATAATGCTGTATGTTTATAAGGTAACATGGAAGTGCTGAATTTTAATATCGATAAGAATTAAAATAATTTTCAATATAATACATGTATATCAATTTTTTGTTTTAAAATTTTAATTTATAAAGAAAATTTTACATCTATAGAACCATTAAATATTTTAAGATCCATTTTCTAATATTAATTTTAATAAACACATTAAAATTTTAATAAACCTGTCTGACTACGTAAAATTATACTGCATACCACACAAACCACATTTTAGGAAACATGAATTAAAATCTTAGAAAGATGGGAAGGGAGAATAAGCAGGCAACTATAAGATAATTTTAAGTATATTCATATATGAAGGCATGAGCAAGGACAGCTAATAGAGCCAAGTCCCTAGTTAACTGGGCTTACAGGCACAGATAAAAAGTGTTAGCTATGGGGGAAAAAACAAAAAAACTTTTCTGAGATGGAAGGTAAAGAAGAAAAGATGAGTAAAGACAGAGAAACTATGAAGTGGGGAATACATTAGATTAATAGAACTGACTTTATTAGCTACTTTATTTTTTTCTTGATTTTAGAGAGGAAGGGAGAAGAAGAGAGATAAAAATATCGATGAGAGAGAACAATGACTGGCCGCGTCTTGCACGCCCCCCACTGGGGATTGGGCCCACATCCTGGGCATGTGCCCTGACCAGGAGTCTGACCCAGAATCGAACCGGGGACCTCTTGGTGCATGGATTGATGGTCAACCACCGAGCCACACCAGCTGGGCTTATTAGCTAGTTTAAATCAACTGGGAAAAACATAGCCTCTTATACACAGAATGGGATAAAAGTAGGTTTATAATTTTATGTAAATTAATATAATAATTAATAAATAATAAAATAAACTGTTTTTCATACTCACAACTATAAACCTACTCTTATCCCACCATGTATAAAACATGTTAAACCGTTTATATGAAAATCTATCTATAGAGAACTTTAAGTTATTGAACACTGGGCACAACTAGTCAATTGTCTCATAGCTACCTTGCTTGGCAAATTTTCCTGGTCATATGCAGCAACTCTGTTAATTATACTAGAACCAGTTTTAGGAAGTTTATTTATTTTTTAAATATATTTTTTATCAATTTTTTAGAGACAGAGGAAGGGAGACAGAGAGAAACATTAATGTGAGAAACATCCATTGGCCAACCAGGGATGGAGCCCGAAATTCAGGCACGTGTACTGACTGGGATTGGAACCCGGACCTCTCAGTCCATGGGATGACACTCAATCCATTGAGCCATAGCTGCCAGGCAAGTTTTAGGACGTCTAATAAATAGAACCAGTAGGAGTATCCTACAATAACTTTTGATTTCTAGATTTTTCTTGAGGGTGGTTCTTTGGGTAGCAAATCCTGGTAAACCTCTGTAAGAGCTACAGAATATTTAATTTACAAAAAATATTGGTGTAGTTACATTTGAACAAATTGACTTGATGAAGATCTGGCTTTACTTAAAAGATTATTTACTTTATGAAATACTCTGCCACAAGACTTCTTTAAATAGCAAGATCATCCAGTAAAGGCAGTAACTCATTTGTGTTAAATATTTATTTGCCTGAAGCTACATGTACATGCCTTGTTCTGAGCCTTTGCACATTCTCCTCCCTTCCCATTAACTAACTTTTACTCATTTTTTCCTACTCTAAGCTTCAAAGTTACTAGGCAAGGTCTCCTGTTCTCTTTATAGCACTTACCACAACTGTAATTAATTTTTAAAATAATTCCTTTAATGTCTGTTTCCCCCGACAGGCTGCAAGCTTCAGAAAGGACAGAGGCTACATGTATTGTGTTCAGTGCAACATAGCACCCAGCAGCTTATTTTGGGATATATGAAGAGTTCAATAAATAGCTATGATACCTACTAAAGATCTTTGTTATTAAAAGGTTATACAATCTTGGTAAGACACGAGAAATCTTTACACATACATCTTCGGCTAAATTCAGGAAGCACTATAGCTTTTTACTCACAGATTAGAGGACCATTCTTCATAGATTCCAATAACTGGCTTATAAGGAAACAGGGACAGGAAGAATTTGAAACTATTCAGCAGAAATCTTTAAATTACCATTACCACATCTCTGCATTTCCTTTACCTACATCCCATTTTCCAATATGCAGAGGTAAATGGGGCCAAAAAAAAAAAAAAAGAGAGAGAGAAATAAGTGAAATATAAACTCATTACTCTCTAAAAGAAGAGCTGCTGTTATCTGCCAGCATACAAAATGGCAGATATTAGGCAATCCACATTTTTTTTTAACACTTCAGCATTACAGGAAATAAGACCTTGAAAAGTATGTAAAAAGTGACCAAATGTACTGTTTTAAGGACAGTTACACACACAAAGAAAATATTAAGATGGAATAACTGATGTAGCAATTTTAAGACTAAGCACTTTTTTATATCTTACAACAGTGCAGGCAGGAGGAAAATGTGACAGAAACTAAGATGGAGGAAAGGCATGCTCATATTCACTCATAAATACTGCATGCTGAGATCAGTACAATACCAAAATTGAGAGAACAATCAGTTGGTAACCAAAATGGGGAAATGCGGGTCTATTGGATGTTTGACACTGCCACACTGAAGGCAGGAAAGAAACAGAAGAAAGGGCACAAAGACGCCGCTGGCAGCAGTGTCCATGAGGTACAAAGTGGTCAGAATGCTAGGAAAGCAGAAGGTACACTAGGCAACGTTCTGATGGTAGGGAAAAAAACCAGCAGCACAGAAAAGCAGGGCTAATGGTGGAGAGACAGACCAGTAGGGTAAAGATAGAAGCCTCCAGGGCAGTGCATACAGGAAGCAGTCATAACTGACTGGAACTGATCATTTGGTTCGTTACTTTTAACTGATTATCTCTTTGCACCAATCTTCCTAGTATTTTTAAAAAGCTGTCTTTGCATTTGTATAGATTATTTTTTTTACATTTGCACTACCATATGTATTTAATATCACCTAGAAGAGACTCAGTATTACCCATCAATCTGTTGACTGGTAAATGTTGGCTTAGTGAGGGTAGCAGAACAGGTTTACTGGCCCCAAACCATCTCTTCCTCTTTTCCAAATGAGGGATTTAGGTCTGCTAAAAAGTACAAAGTTCTCTGTAGAGCCCAGTCATTCTGTAAGCCATAAGCCAGTTATTACAGGTTATTGTCCCTTCTGCTGTGACATTTCCATTTCATTTGTTCTAGTTGTGACTTTGCTTTATATATTAAGATTCCTGGTAAGAATTCATGGCAAGGAATTGTTCCACTCCTTTATGGAGTCAATACTTACTGCAAGGTATATTTCAAAAGGTATATTTCAAAGCACTTTGCTTTTGTATGTTTAAAAACTGGATCTCTTAATGGGAAAAACGTTACTTAAAAAAAATCTCTTTCCTCTCCATTTTGGAGACCCTGAAACAGGCATTTGAGAGTCAACTGGATAAACCTTCTTAGTCAATAATTATATATTTCCGTGTGTTGGCGATCTATTTTTAAGACAATCAAATCGGGCATAGTACAAAACTGGGAGAGGAGGGTGTGGATTGGCACACGTGTTGTTTTAAGAACGGTAGGATTGACAGGTAAAGCAAAAAGTGTGCAGACACTGAGGTGAAAGCCTTTTCTCTTACAGAAACCGACAGACTCAACAGCACAATTCCTAACGGGAAGGGCTCCTTTGCGAGAGGCCTCCTGTCTTTCAATTTCATGAGCCAAGTCTGATTCCGGCTCTGGGCGAATCTTCTGGTCCCTGCTCCCAGTATAGGGATAGGCTTCCCTAGACAAGTATATTAAAGGTCGCTTCTGCCCCTATTCGGAATAACGGGCTCCTAAGAATGCAAGCTTGGGAGTTGTAGGAACACAGGAAAAGGGGGCAGAATCCGCGCCGTCCAGCGGCCCCCGGGCCTGTCAGCAATTCACCTACCCACCCATCTCCATTCTTCGGTCTAAACTTACCAGGTGAGAGCTATGGCCCTGGACGGGGAGTAAGTAAGTGGGATAGGTCGGGTCGAGTTCCGCTGCGCTTCTTACAGACGCTGCCGGGAAGAGGCTGAAACCCAGTAGCCGCCGCCGCTGCCTCCGCCACCGCCTCTGTTACTGGGGGGTCTCGCCTCCATCGCTGGCTGCGAGAACTCTGAGGACACGTGACCGGAAGTACCGAGGCGGGCCCGCGGGGCACGTGACCCCAGAGCACAGCCGCCATGACACCTTCCGCTTGTTCCCTCCCTCCCCCGCCGGTTCCCGCCTGTTTCCTTTTCTTTCGCCGGCTTCAAGCGGTGAAGGGTCCCAGGATGCTGACTGGCTCACCCCTTGGCCTAGAGTTCCTCCGGTTCCGGTCAGCGCTGTCTTCGGCCGGCAGCAGCCCGCTGACTGCAGGCCGCTGAGAGCGTAACTGCGATGGCGGCCTGAGGGGGAGGGACCACGCGCAAGCAGGGGCGTGACCCGTCACGTGACGAGGAACTGCCGTTAATAGCGTTGTCCCCGCGTCCTGGGCGCTCCAGGATGACGTAGCCAGGGAGGGGAGGAGCGAAAGGAGAGACCAGCTCCGGTGCGGGTTTAAATGCTCGGTGAGTGTCCTGGCGCCCAGCCAGTAGAGCTTGGAAATTGGGGCCTTCCGGCCTGGCAAAGGTGGAGCGGGGCTGAAACTTGGGTTTGGAAATTGGTTACCGAGGCTAATCTTCTTAAGACATGAATACAGCGTTAAAGTGTAGCTGTTCAAGTTTGTAGTTCAGCTAGGTGGGGACTGTCTCTGGTGTGTACAAGGCATATTTGAATGCATGAATGAGTCGCCATTTCCGTTTGAGGTGGAGAGTTCTCAGATTATTTCTTGCGTAGGAAGATTTAATCTACTTTCCCTTCACATAGTAACTTTAACTTTCGCTTTCTTCTCTTTGCCTCCTCTCCAATGCGAAAAGAGAATGCTGTGATTTGCCTTTGTTGTGAGCAGCAAACACTTGTCCATTAGTTAAGTGAGTACAATACTGGGGCGATAAGAAAACTTTCTTGATCCTATTACTAGGTTGTTACCACCAAGTAATTCAGGGAAATGGAATGATGATTAGATTTTGGACTCAGCAGAAGTGGGTTCAAATCTCACCTCTATTTTTTAAGACCTCTGTGACCTTGGGCAAGCAAACCCCTCAAGAATTTGTTTCATTGACCTTCTGTTTGCTTAGTTTTTTTCTAGGCTGGAGGTGTGACAGACTTAACAGAGGAAATATTTAAGAAATATTTAAACTTAGATTTGCAGATAGGCTTTTGTTAGATGGAGAGAGATTCAAGAAATGGCATTTATTAAAATCATGGAGACATAGAAAGTTTATAGAGTGAAAGGAACAAAAGATAGTTCCGTATAGTTGGAGAATAGGAGAGAGGATAAGTTGGAAGATGAAGCTGTAAAAAGGGATGAGATCATAGGTTCTGTAAAAGGGTAGCTGTTGAAGTTGTGTTTATTTTATTTTTTCACTTTTTTTTTTTTATCCTCACCCGAGCACATTTTTTTATTTTTTGTTTGGATAGAGTGGGAGGAAGAGAGAGAGAGAGAGAGAGAGAGAAACATCGATGTGAAAGGGACACATCGAGTGGTTGCCACCTGCACGACCCAACCAGGGCCGGGGACAAACTGCAACCGAGGTACCTGCCCTTAGCGGGAACCGAACCCGGATCTCTCTGTACCGCAGGCCAACACTCGATAACTGCTGAACCAAACCGGCCAGGGCTCACTTTTTTTTTAAAAGTATGTATTGAAAAATTTGTTATGGAAAATTTCAAATACCGATAAAATAGGATAATTTAATCAACCCTCATCTACATACACATAAATCCAACTTTAACAGTTACCCACACTCTACAGTTCTTGTTTGTACAGAGCTTTTTATTTTATTATTATTTTTAAAAATATGTTTTTATCGATTTTTTTTTTTTTTTAGAGAGAGAAACATCCGTGTAAGAGAAACATTCATCATCTGCCTCCTGCATACCCCCTACTGGGGATCAAGCCTGAAACCTGGACATGTCCCCTGACTGGAACCTGGTGGGACCTCTCAGTCCATGGGACAACGCTTAATCCACAGAGCCACACCAGCCAGGCTGTACAGAGCTTTTTAATTTCTGGGTACTTTTTACATCCATTGTCACATTTAATTAATAGTAGCTTTCAATTTGAGCTCAGTTCTACTGTATCTAGGTACTGGCCATTTTATGTGAAAATGTCTTTGAGTTGTAGTTGACCATTTGCTCTGTTGAATCAAAGTGTGATATGTCAATTTTAAAAACACATCTGAGGTCCAGCCTGTGTGGCTCGGTGGTTGGGCGTCTGACCCATGCACCAGGAGGTTGCCGGCTCTATTCCGTGTCTGGGCACATGCCCAGGTTGTGGGCTGGGCCCCCAGTGGGGGACATGTAGGAGATGGCCAGTTGATGTTCTCTCTCATTGATGTTTCCATCTCTCTCTCCTCCCTTTCTCTCTCTGTAATAAATATATAAATAAATTAATTTAAAAAACAACAACACATCTGAGCCCTGGATGGTTTGGCTCAGTGGTTAAAGTGTTGGCCCACAGACCAGTGAGTCTCGGGTTCGATTTCGGTCAAGGGCACGTACCTTGGTTGCAATTCATCCCAGCTCTGGTTGGGGTCATGCAGGAGGCAACCAATCAGTGTGTCCCTTTCACATCGATGTTTTTCTCTCTCTCTCTCCGTCCCACTCTGTCTGAACAAAAATGGAAAAATGTCCTCGGGTGAGGATAAAAACAAATAACACATCTGATCCTATTTTAGGTAGTAATATAGAAACTTAGTGTCCAGATCAAGTAGGTTAGGGTTTCTACTCTATTTTGTGTTATCCAATTAAAGGTGTATTATTATGTTCAGTTCGAGGCAACCCATTTTCAGGTAAACTAAAATGCCTGTGTAGAAGGTTGACCAAAACAGAGAGCAACTGGGAAATTGTCATGTAAAGAATGATTGAAAAACTGGGAATGTTAAATTTTTAGAAGACCTGATAACACTTTTCAAAGACTAAAGGGTTGTTTTGGAAGGAGTAAACTTACTCCCATAAACTAGAATTTACAGTTAGGAATACTTAGTTAAAGGCTATAACTGATCAGATTTCAACCCAGTATTTTAAAAAAGACCTTATAACAGAGAGAGCTGGAGAAGTGGAACGGGCAGCTTCAAGAGAGGAAGCCTTCCCTTTCTACTGCTGAAGATTTTCAGAGATCCAGGGTAAAACTAATTTCTGAATTAGGGGGATGTATGCGCTTTGAATCTTTTTCCACCTTGAGAATTTTAGGAAGTGGCACTTATATTTGGGCCTGGAAGGCTGGGTGCATTTGGATAAGTAGATGTGGAGAAAAAGGAGTCATTTCATGGAGAGAGGAAGCACAAAGAAAAGGATCAGTTTGGACTTGGCTTAACACTATCACCCAGCATCTTCTCTTGTGAATTAATATTGCTTATGCTATTTATTTTCCATTCTTATTTCCATTAAATCTTAAGAACAAAATGGGTTTTTTACCCCATTAAATCATAACTCCCAGGACATTTTCTTTTCACTAAGATCAAGACCAAATGGCCTGTCCACCTCAGAGTTTGCATATCACAAGTAGAAGGGATAGACTCCGTTGTCTTAATGTCAGTCCTTTCTTCTTTAGATTCTTGTACTATGATTTTAACTTTTTCTTGTGTCTTTATATCCTTTCATTCTTAAGATTCTTTTCTTTTAGCTAGTATCTAGAGATCTATTTTGAGTTTCGCCTGGTCAGAAAGTCAAGAAATTTTTTTTCCTTTCTACCAGATTTCTTTCATTATTGGAAAAGCCTTATCTTTACTTCCTCACCACCCACCCTTATTCTCATGTATCTGCCCACAGGACTTCATAGAAATTATGTAATCACCCAAAACCAAATCCTTCAATACCTTTCTGTTGCCTTCCAAATTAAAATTTTGCTCAGGTTCCTTGGTTTGAGATTCAAAATGTTTTGTAATTTGTGTTCGAATTACTATTTCAGCTTTATCTTTCATTATTCCATTGCTTGGATCCTGTGTTTCAACCACAGACTAAACTTATATCTTTGCTTATTATTGCCCAACCTGCTACCCTCACCCTTTTTCTTCTGATAAAAGCCTACTTAGCTCCCAGTGCTACTTCCCTTAGGAAGTTTTCCGTGGTTCCTTTGAACTCAATGTGATCTCTCTGTCCTTTTAACTTCCAGCATAGCACTTTGCTTATGTTTTCCTTGTGAGAGAGAGGTGTGTGTGTGTGTGAGAGAGAGAGAGGGAGAGAAGGAGGGAGGGAGGGAGAGAATGATTTGTTCTATTTTTCCCTATTTGAGTTTATTTATTTATCCTTAACCGAGGATATTTTTCCATTTTTTGTTCAGATAGAGTGGGAGGGAGGGAGGGAGGGAGAGAGAGAGAGACACATCGAGAGAGAGAGAAAGAAAGAGAGACACATCGACATGAAAGGGACACATCAAGTGGTTGCCGCCCACACGACCCAACCAGACCAGGGCCGGGGACAAAGTACAACCGAGGTACATGCCCTTAGCAGGAACAAAACCCGGGTCTCTCCGGACTGCAGGCCAACGCTCTAACCACTGAGCAAACCAGCCAAGGCTTTCCCTATTTGAATTTGAAGTGATTGATTTCTGGTATTATTATATTTGTCTTGTTCCCACTGCTGTTCCTCATTGTACTAGGTACTCAATAAAATGAATGAGTGAAAAAAAATGAGATTTTTCTTAGGTCAGGAATTCTCAAATATTGTAAGTACAGATATACCTCCTTTTATTGTACCTTACTTTATTGCGCTCCACAGATGTTGTGATTTTATTTTATTTTTTAAGTTGAAGACAAACCCTTCCACCAGCAAAAAGATTATGACTTGTTTTATTATTATACTCACTTTATTGTGGTGGTCTGGAACCAGACCTCCAATATCTCTGAAGTATGCCTGTATAGGACTCCTAGAAATTTTTCTCTTTTCAGAACACTGTTCTCCTTGCAGAAGTCAAGCTGTATTAAAACAGTATTACTGGCAGATGCTAGATACTTATTGCTAGAAATATATTACATGTATGCAATAGAAATATCTTAAGTTTGAATGTGTTTTGTTACTAGAAGATATGCTCCATGAGTGTTAGGACTTTGTTTTGTCCTCTTTTGTTGTCTCTGGGACCTACAACAATGCCTGGCACATAGTTGGTGCTAGGTGTACATTTGTTGACTAAACAAATGAGTGAATTTATATATTTCTGAAAAAACAAAACTCAAAGTATAAATAATTTAAAAACAAATATAAGAAATTGTTTCTTTAAAAAATTTTTTTAATTGATTTTAGAGAGAGAGAGAGAAAAGGAGAGGTAGAGAGAGATAGAAACATCATTGAGAGAGAACATCAATTGGCTGCCTCTTACTTGTCCCCCACTGGGGATTTGGTCCACAGCCTGGGCATGTGCTGTGCCCTGACTGGGAATTGAACTGGCAACCTCTTGGTGCATGGGTTGATGCTCAACCACTGAACCACACTGGCTAGGCAAGAAATTGTTTCTTTAAAAAATTTTTTTATTTATGCATTTTAGAGAGAGAAGAAAGGAGGAAGAGAGAGACCGAACGAGAGAGAAGCATTGATTTGTTGTTCCACTCATTTATGCTTTCATTGGTTGATTCTTGTATGTGCCTACTGGGAACTGAATTCACAACCTTGGAGTATCAGGACGACCCTCCAACCAACTAGCTTCCCGGCCAGGGTAAATATTTGCTTTTTATTTTTAATTTTGCAGGTGACAAAGGATTGAGAAAAGTTAAAATGAATGGGTAGAATTTTCTTATGTTTTCTTTTATTTCCTATTTTGGTAGTTGATGTAATTTGACAAAAATATATATTTGAGAGTTGTTGAACAGTTAAGAACTCTTGTGTTAGTTTACAAAGTCCTCATTGGATATTTGGCATTTGCTACCTTCCTATCAGTCTTCTTACTGAACCCCTTATTCCTCTTCAAGCTCTAATTACCTGCACTTTATTTCTTAGTTACTTAGTGAGTGCATTCATTCATTCAGCAGGTGCATTAATTCATTATTGAGCCCCTAATAGGCAGGAGAAAGAGATCCAGAGGCCTATTGCTTCTAAGCACTATTAAATTGTTGGCTGATAACCATTGAATTTGCCGATAAGGGTTTATAGATAGAGGCCTTTACGGAAAATTGCCCTTTAATGAGAGATACTTAAAGAGAGAAAATGATTTACAACTTAAATGCAACTGGGGTTGCTATTTTACCATAGAGGAGCTTGACCAATTTTTCTCTTAAATCCTGCAGTGTCCATTCTACCTACCCATGCTGTTAGATAACTAGAATGGGATAGGATTGTGGAGGGCCTTGAGAACCTAGACTTGATTCTCTGGGAGATTTAGAGTCAGGGAATGATGCCATTACAAGCTGATGTTTGCATGTTACCTATGCGTGTTTTCTTTCCACCTGAGCACCTCCAGAGTAGGGATCCTTGTCCCTTTCTTCTAAGTGGTCTCCACATTAAATGCATGTCGAATGAGTGGTTAGCTTCTTAAATTATATTTTTGCAGGTTTAATTCAGGAATACTGTGCTTATCACTCTACATAGTTTCAGCTTGACAGCTAAATGACTTTTGTGCCAGTGATACCGGAGTCCTACACCCATGTTCTTGCCGAGTTTGAGTCTCTGGATCCACTACTTTCAGCCCTAAGGCTGGACTCTAGTCGTCTAAAGGTAAATTTCTTGATATGAATGATTCACGTCCATATTCATATATTTGTGTGTTCTCTGTTACATGTGCCCCCTGCCCTCTAGTTCTTTGTGTGTTATGGAAACTTGAGTATTATCTTTGCTAGTATTGAGTACTACCTTCTATGTAGCATGTTCATAGCTGTTTCTTGGTTTATTTTTTGAGCTATCATTTGAATTCTTTCCTAGCCTTAGAAACCATAATATTGATTGCTGAATTTTTTTCCCTTCTCAGTAATCTTTCTGTCTTATCTCAGAAAGTAATGTATTTGAGTAATTTATTGATTGAAAATAGTATAAATGAGTTTTAAGCAACATTAGCTTTTGAGCAACATGAACATCTGCTGTTAAACTAAGCTTATTCCAAAACAAAAAGTTTGATTCACACTCCATTTTAGGGAACAGAGCAAAAGTTATTGTCTTTATGTACTCCCCTCAAATACTGAGTTCTTTTGATAAAGTCAGGGATCACATGGTGAAGAACAAGTCTCATAACCAATTTTTTTTTTCCCCCAGTCCTCACTGAGGGTATTTTTTTTTTCTATTCATCTTCAAATAGAGTGGGAGGGATGGAGGAGGGAGAGAGAGAGCAGAGAGAGGAGGGGGAGAGAGACTGAAACATCTTCATGAGAGGGACACATCAAGTGGTTGCCTCCCACACGACCCCCACCAGGGCCAGGGACGAACCACAACCGAGGTACATGCCCTTGACTGGAATCGAACCTGCAACTCACTGGTCCGCAGGCTGATGCTCTAACCACTGAGCAACTATCCAAGGCTCATAACCAATTTTAAAATAATTTTATTTTTACACTTTTGCTCTCACCCAAAGTACCATTCTAGCCTCTGAGCATAGGGAGAATAGGAAGTAATAGGCAAAGTAATATGAGTAACAATGATAAGGATTGATACCAGATTTCTTTTTTTTTCATTTTTCTTTAGATAGAGGGGGAGGGAGAGAGGAAGGAAGAGATAGATAGAAAGAAACATTGACGTGAGAGAGACACATCGAGTGGTCGCCACCCACACAACCCCAATCGGGGCTGGGAACAAACTACAACCAAGTCACGTGCCCCTAGTGGGAACTGAACCCAGGACTCTCTGGTCTGTGGGCCAACGCTCTAACCACTAAGCAAAACCGGCCAGGGCCCAGATATTTTTTTAGCTGCTTTACAGAATGCCTTACCAACAATGGCTTAAGCATTTAAGGTGTTATTAACCTTGTCGGAGGTTAGTATTTCTCGGTTTTGTGTTATGGCCCAGTGATTTCCCTGAGGACCCAGTGTCTCCATCTTCTTGTTTTGCCATCATCCATATATTGGTTGTTAGTCATAATTGCAAGGTAAGTATCCTGGTTCCAATCTTGATGTGCCATTAGTATCTCCAGCAAGAAAAGGGGGGCCAATGGTAAAGGCTTCCTTTTTTTTGGGCTCTGCCTTTTATCTTGGAAGGTAGAGCTTTCCAAGAAGCCTCACCATCTTAGTTTAATAGCTGGATTTGAGCCATGTTGCTCCCTATAACTGCAAGAGAACCTGGGTAAGTGAATATTTAGGTTTTCTAGCTTCTGTGGTAGAGAGCAGCAAGGTTTAAGAGGGTTGGGGTGTCAGCCAAGCAACAATTTTTACCACGGGCACAGTATGGCCACTACTTTCTCTGGTATAAGGAAGAGGAATAATCAGGTTGAGGGTTTGGGGAGACAGTACAGTGACCTTCACCTGCCCATTGCAGTCTCATTTGCTCTAAAAGCTTTGGGTGTTTTGTGCTGATTATACAAACGAGAAATTATTTAAGTGAGCAAATGATTAAAGTGGTTGATGTATGCCCTGGAGACTTACTTGATCCTCCATCATTGTGGTCAACATTGGAACGACCAAACTAAAGTACACAAAAGATGAATGGTTTAGTAACTGGCTTTTGCCAAGGGAAAATTACTCATTTATATAATTGAGCCCATTCAGCCATTTTGAGATTCAGTTAACAATTTAAAGCCAAAATGTTTTTTCATCTGTATTTTTCAGTATACTAGAAGGAGAGAGCATGAATGCCATTATGTGGTGTCCAACTGGGAAGGGGATGGTATGTGGGAGGAACCTGGTACCCAGATTCTCAGTATTTATTTCCAGTGGGTAGTTTTATTTGATTAAATGACTGGTGATCTCACACTTGTCTGTTTACATGTTTTTAGTGTACGAGCATAGCTGTGTCTCGGAAATGGTTGGCTTTGGGCAGTTCAGGAGGAGGTCTCAACCTCATTCAAAAAGAAGGCTGGAAGCACAGGCTCTTTCTTTCACACAGGGTAAGATTAAGGGTAGCCCTGTCGTATCATTCGGCATATCTTTCAGAAATGCCAATTTCTCCATTATAAAGAATCATTTGGAATTTTAAAAAATGTAAAACTTGAGATTTAAAAGTAAATATATATACCATTTTGGAGAAGCTGCCTAAAATGTTTCCTTTTTGTGCTTTAGGAAGGTGCAATTTCTCAGGTTGCCTGTTGTTCACATGATGATGATTATGTTGCTGTAGCTACCAGGTGAGAAACTGTTTTAAAAGTATCTGACCTTGTCCAAATGCATTTCAAATGAACAAATGTAGCTGTGTGTTAGGGTGACCAACTATCCCGAATTGCCTAGGACTATCCCAGTTTTTAGCACTGAATGTCCTGTGTCCTGGGAAACCTCTCAGACCCCGGGAAACCTGTCAAACCCCAGCAAACCAGGAAGGACAGTTGGTTGCACCAGTGTTTGTGGAAAATGCTAATGTCAGGCAACAACATTTCAGTGGCTTTAAAAGAGAAGGGTAACAGATAATTTAGGACATCTAAATTCTGTCATGCTAGATTGGTGGACTAATGCAAGGAAATTAATACCTTGACTTTCTGTTTCCTCTTTTCTGAAGAACTAGTTTACATATATGTTTAATGTAGTTGATACTGTGATACAGTTGTACCTTTTTCACCATTGCCAAAAATTTGCTCTGTGACTCAATTCTTGCAGTCAAGGTCTTGTAGTTGTTTGGGAATTAAATCAAGAGCGTCGTGGCAAACCAGAACGAATTCATGCGTCTTCCGAACACAAGGGCCGAAAAGTTACAGCTCTCTGTTGGGATACAGCGATTCTTAGAGTTTTTGTAGGTGATCATATGGGAAAAGTTTCAGCCATCAAACTCAACACTTCTAAACAAGCAAAGGTGAGAACCAGTCCGGTTTTTTTGTGTATGTGGGTGAGATGAAAGGTGTTGTCTCAGAGTATTTCAAATGAAGGACACAATTTTATCTGCCGAATTTCTTGAGAGACTGATCTAGAGCCCAGAATACTAATTTTGAGGAGACTTGTTTGTATGTGGTACGTATGGGAGGCTAGGTTAGCTTGATACTGATGGGGAATGGCTTCTGTGGGTTAACTTCAGTAGTTTACACTTTGTCTGTTATAGTACTCCATAATTTATCTGTATAGCTAACTTAAGTAAAGCATTCTTTTTTTTTTTTTTTATCCTCACCCGAGGACATTTTTTCGATATTTTGTTCAGATAGAGTGGGAGGGGGAGAGAGAGAGAGAGAGAGAGAAACATCGACATGAAAGGGACACATCGAGTGGTCGCCACCCACATGACCCAACCAGGGCCGGGGACAAACTGCAACCAAGGTACGTGCCCTTAGCGGGAACCGAACCCGGGTCTCTCCAGACCTCAGGCCAATGCTCTAACCGCTGAGCCAAACCGGCCAGGGCAGTAAAGCATTCTTTAATAATAGGCTATTAAGAAAGATGCCTATTTATTAGTTGTGTGAATAAAATGCCAAATAGAAATGATATCTTTGTAAGGTAGAAGAAATTGCCCAGGCTCCTTTGTAAGGTAGAAGAAATTCATGGGTCTAGGTATATATTCTCAGAAGAATGGAATCTTTTTTTTATTGTTGTTAATCCTCACCGGAGGTTATTTTTCCCATTGATTTTCAGAGAAAGTGGAAAGGGCCAGTGAGGGTGGGGAGGGAAGAGACAGACACACACACACATTGATTGGTTGTCTCCCTCACCTGCCCCAGCGGGGTGGGGTATTAAACCTGCAACCCAGGTACATGGCCTTGACTGGGAATCGAACCCTCAACCCTTTGGTGCCTAGGCCAGTGCTCTAACCACTGAGAAAACCGGCCAGGGCTGTGAATGGAATCTTTATAAATCTGTTTTTAATGACTTTTTTTAGAGAGAGGACAGGAGAGAGAGATAGAAACATTGATGGGAGAGAGAAACATCGATCTGCTGCTTCCTGCATACTCTCCACTGGGGATTGAGCCTGCAACCTGGGCATGTGCCCTGACCTGGATTTGAACCAGGACCTCGCAGTCCATGGGCCAACGCTCAATCCACTGAGCCACACTGGCCAGGCATGTGAATGGAATCTTAAAGGCACCTCCTGGATTGTGCTCAGCTATGTAGGCTCCCAGGCTTCCTGTCGGAGTTATTGTTGGAATGGAAGGGTTGAGTCTCAGGTTACTGTACCAGAATACTCTAGTTTGTCATTCAGCCAGCTTCACACTCTTTCTCCTTCAAAGGTTATTATATTGGAAGTGGAGAACTTCTCTTTTCGTTGGCTTATTTCCATGTAGGATCCTGGCAGGAAAGAGGAGATCTAACTATCATTGTCTAAATTACTTTATTTTAATTAACATATCACAATATTCTTCTGGTTTGGTCATGATGATCCATGCAAGTTATCACTTGATTCCTTATATTTTTGACCCAAAGTACAGTTGGAACCCAACACAGTACAGGCCTAATGCATGTCTTTCTTCCAAAGGGAGAAGTACTGTCTACAGGTGAAAAATTCCCTTACATATTTGAAAACTTCATCCTTTTTATTCCAGCATCTAAGATTAGATCATTATAAACAGAGCCTTAAGAATTCTCTTTTGCAATTGTGTACCAAATTATTTCACATAACTTTGATATCCCAACAGGCAAATTAAATTTGGCCCGCTAAAAGTTTTTATTTTGCTATCCAAGACATTTTCATTTAAAAGGTAGAGAAAGAAATTATATGTATATGTAATAATAAATAAACTTTTTTTCCTTCTCATGTTCCTTTTAGGCAACTGCTACCTTTGTAATGTTTCCTGTTCAGACAATAACAACAGTTGACTCCTGTGTCGTCCAGTTAGATTATTTGGATGGAAGACTACTTATATCTTCACTCACGCGATCCTTCTTGTGTGACACTGAGAGGTATATTGACCAACCATGTGTCATAGGATATGCAGAATTTTAGAACTGGAAGAGACTTCGAAATCATCTAGCCCAAACCCTTCAATTTAATTATACAGATATTAATAAGGAACCAGCTGTGTGCAAGTTGATGTTAGAGAATAGAGAAGAGGTAGAGGATACTGAGACAGTTCAGTGGGTGACTGATACAAATATATTAACACTATGTGGAGCATGGTCTAAATGCCATGAAGGAAGGCCAAGTAAAGGCCTGTTTAATATGGGGAATCAGGAAGGCTTGCTTAATTGAATTTGTTGTTGTTTAAATTTGTTGTTTCTTTTAAAATTTCTTTTTATTGATTTTAGATAGAGGAAGGGAGGAGTAGAGAGAGAGACATTGATGTGAAAGAGAAACATCGATTGGTTGCTTCCCACACCCTGACCAGGAATTGAACCCATAACCTTTTGGTGTATGGGACAACGCTGAACTACCCGGCTGAACTACCCAGCCAGGCAATTCATTGTGTATTTAATGGAATTAAAGAGTAAAATTAGATGAACAATAATTAAGACATTGTGAAGCCGACAAACATTTTACCAAAATCTCAAAGGTAGAGCCAAAGGTCCAGTGAATGTCAAAGGAGTATAGTAGAAGTAGCTAAAATACCAGAATAGAATAGGAATCAGCTTGAAATGAATATTATGTATCACTGAAGTTCTTGTGCCATTCCCACTGCAGGAAAATTTTCAACCCTGTATTCCTTAGGACTTTCCCTCTTTTAAAAATATTTTTGGGAGAATTTTGAACATACATGAAAGAAGAGAGAATTGTATAATTAACCCCCATGAATCCACTAGTCAGCTTCAGTAATTTTGATGAGGATTTTTGGTAGGTGAAGTTTGCAGGAAGAGATGCAGGGGGTGATCTAGCAGGAAGGAATAGACGTTTGGGAGAAAAGTGAGAAAGATCAGCATAGAACCTGCCAATCTGGCTTGAGTAGGGGCGTTGTGGGAGATCAAGATGTTAAATTGGCACCACACTGGGAGCAACAGCCTTAAATGTCACACTAATTAAGTAGATGGGTTCTCAGATCATTTTAAGAAAGTGTACATATAGAAAATCAGGGTTTGGAAATTGATTACCTTAGAACTATCTAGTCTTGGAAAGTCTTTATTTCCAGGGGTTCATGTATCTCAGGAAACTGCTATTTGAGAAAGCAGGAGACTGTTTATTCCAAAGGGTTTGAAGAAATGTGTGCTGACTGTCAGGGATGGTAGATGAAAGGATGAAGAGAGATGTTTTGCTTTTTTCTTGAGATGAGAAAGGCACTTGGGAAGGAGGCCAGTTATAGCAGATGGTAGGTGTCTGGTATCAGAGAACCTAGCTGGACAGCAGAGAGGCAAGGCTTTGAGATACAAATGGTCAGTTTACATGCAGTCAGTAGAAAGGATGATGCACTTGCTTCTGACTTATTTCAGACTGTAGTTCAGTGATAAAGTTAGACTTACAGAACTGGAGGTCCTCTTGTGTCACCCTTTAATTTTTCTTGATTCGGTGCCCTTCCTGTTACCTCAGTTACCTCTAATACATTCTTTGATATTGGACCTTTGGCCATTAACTCACCTTTGAGATTTTGGTAAAATATTTGTTAGTTTTACTAAGTTCTTAACTATTTTCATCTGTAGGTTTTCAAGTTTACCAAATGGCCCAATTCAGAAATTTGACTGAAATTCTAATAAGTGGTCAAAACACTGAACTGAAAACATCTTATTAGGGTTGTTTTGAGGATCTGATGAAATGATATATATGAAAGACTTATTAAAATTAAAAGCTAAATAAGTGGAGGTTTATTTTTTCCTCTGCAATAGAGTTGCTAATCATTATTTTCCCTTTTTACAGGGTTGTGGCCAGAGTTGGTTATGAGAATAGAATAACATAGAACCTACTGCTAAAATAACATATTTTAGAAATGCCTACTTTCTGTAAGCTGGAATTCAATTTTGGAGGACATGGATAGTATCATATTTTAAAAACTTACTCATGTTTAAAATTTTTTATTTATGTTTATCTATATTCCCTCCCAACAAACAACATTTTCATTTTAGACTAAAGCTTCTAATAACTAACAGAAGTGATAGATATGAATTGGCTTCTCCTGCCAGCCACTGTCTACTTTCTGTCGGTATTGTTAATGAATAAAGTAGATTCCAGGAGGGAATATAATAAGAGAAAACAGAGCTCTGATGTAGCACAGAGAACATTGGATAATGGAGCCTGACAATATGATTTCATATTCTGTTTCTGACACTTTTTAAACCTTGCCAAATATCACTTTCCCCTTCCAGAATGTAGAGATACTTTTCAGGATTAACTGAGGTAATGTTATGAAGTACTTAGCCTTGTGCCTGTCACATATTGTTTAAAATGGAGAAAATAAGATTAATGAGTTAACAAATGAGTTGACTGTATTTGTTCACTCAACAAACATTTATTCTACTCTGGATTCTTAGTATTACGCATTACAGAGGATTTACAAAAAGCAAGAAATATATTTTATTTCCTAAATAAGGAATATATGTAATAAAGTCATAACTTCCTATATTGCACATTTCAAAGTACTTTTACATTCACATTCTGAGAATAAAGCCGATGTTATATTTTATTCGTGAAGGAAATAAGTACAGGGTTATTTATTGAATATCTAAGGTCACATAGTAAATTCACACTAGAGAGCGTATTAGATCATTCTCCAATAAAAAGGATCGAGTATTTTCATCCAATGACAAATTAAAGCCAACAACTTTACAGCTAAAAAAAGTGTTTGAGTATATAGAGCACTACACTGCATTAAGGGCTTTCTGTGGGCAGATGCTATGCTATATATTGGGGATTCAACTAAAGAGGACTAAGAAATGGCCTTTGTCTTGTAGATAGTAATCATCTGTTCAGATAGACACAATTGCCATATATAATATGGTAAGTGCTATGAAAACAGCATGAGAAGCATGTAATTCAGATTATGGGAGTCGGAATCTCAGAGGAAGAATGATGGAGCTAAGTCATGAAGAGTTAGAAAAGGAGTTCTTAGGAAGGGACACATCCTCCTCATTATTACCTCGCATGTTCTCAGGCAGTGTCCTAGGTTCTTTTATATATATAGCTCATGTGAGGGAACAGAATGTTCCAAGGTACAGTTTCAGAAGGACTTAGCGTTTTTAGGAAAGAGTGAGGACTTTATTGGGTGTTTGTGACAGAGGAGTGGCTTGGAGACAGGGCTGGAGAGGTAGATTAGCTAGCTGTTCCATGGAGTGGCCAAAGAATAAGGTGATTTGGGAAGCAATCAGTAGGATTCACAGATGTATGAAATGGTTGGATAGCACTCATTTTTTAAAGAAAGGGACCTTCACATTAACTCTGAGCCCCTCATTCTGTGGATCAAAAACTTATGAGAAACAGTTTACTTCCTGTCACAGAAAGAGTTAATGGCAATCAGAGCTAGAACCCTGTTTTGACCTCTCCATTTTGTTCTTTCCAGTAGTATATTGCTAATGTGAATAATGAGAGGACATTGTGGGTGGGATTACCATGGCCATGCTGATTTGTAGTGCCATTGTTTTTGACTTTTTTGTAGGTAAACATGCTTTCTCTTCCTTTTTGGGTATTAGAGAAAAATTTTGGAAAATTGGAAACAAGGAAAGAGATGGAGAATATGGTGCTTGTTTCTTCCCTGGAAGATGTTCTGTGGGCCAGCAACCGCTAATATATTGTGCTCGTCCTGGCTCCAGGATGTGGGAAGTGAACTTTGATGGGGAAGTTATAAGTACACATCAGTTCAAGAAACTCCTCTCATCACCACCTCTTCCTGTGATTACTCTAAGGTAAGGTCATGATTTGTATGGCTGGTAGGGAGTATTTGAGGAACTTTCATGGTGGGGTTAGGTTGAAGAGTCTGACATTCTATATGTGTTAAAGATTTTATTATACCTTTTAAGAGTGAAGTAGGATATATTTTTTTTAAATCCTCACCCGAGGATATTTCTCCATTGATTTTCAGATAGAATAGGAGGGAGGGACGGAGAGAGAGAAACATCTATGTGAGAGAGACACATTGATTGATTGCCCCCCACATGACCCTGACCAGGGTCAGGGCCAGGGATTGAACCAGCAACCAAGGTACTTGCCCTTGACTAGGAATGGAACCATAGACTCTTTGGTCCTTAGGCCAGCACTCTAATTACAGAGCCAAACTGACCAGGGCTGAAGTAGGATTTTTATTAAAAGATTCAGAAAAATCTAAGTCTTTCATCAATTATCTTTCATATGAGTTAAAACAAATTCAATAAGAGCAGATGCAGTTAGGCTTTTGGGTTTGTTTGGAGGCATTTTTTTTTTTTATATATAGGAAAAAGCACACTTTTATATTGCGATAAAATCATTAACAGATGTATTTACTTTTTAGATCAGAACCTCAGTATGATCATACAGTTGGATCCTCTCAGTCTTTGTCTTTCCCCAAACTCTTGCATCTTAGGTAAGTTTCTCCCTTTCATCCTTAAAACCAAAATGAACACTTAACTATTTCTCTTTGTTTCTTGTTCAGGGGCAGTTATCTTTAAAAAAATTTTTTTTTTAAATTCTCACCTGAGGATATGTTTTTTTATTGATTATTTTTAGGAGTGGGGAGAGAAATATTAATGTGAGAGAGAAACATTGATTGGTTGCCTCCTATAAGCGCCCCAACTGGAGATCCAACCACACCCTACGTATGTGCCCTGACCAGGAATTGAACCCACAGCCTTTTGATGTATGGGACAATGTTCCAGCTAACTGAGCCACCTCACCAGGGGCAGTTATCTTTTTAAGATTGTCTTTGTGTTAAGTTATTTTTAGAAAATTAGGAAATGACTGTTATGTGAAGTGTCTGTATATAAGAGGAATGAAAAGATAATATAAATATGCTTCATTTTCTGTTTTGAACTAACCTAAACTAATTGGACAGTTAATAATTGCAAGGGAACTTCTGATAATTAGATCTAAGAGGTACAGGTACTCATTTTTCATAACCTTTCCTATTTAGTGGAATGTTACAGTGAAAGCAAGTCTCAGTCTGAAGTCTGCTGCACATTCATATGTTTTTTAGCAGGCAGGGACAAAAGGAGTTGTGGAACTTGTTCTTCTAAGCTTGGGTAAATTTTGGCTTTCTGTCCTTGAGGTACTCTGACAAGCACCTTGCATAAAAAATCTGCCTGAGGTAGATTCAGCCATATATATATATTTATCTTTTTTTTCATCCTCACCTGAGGATATGTTATTGATTTTGAGAGAGAGAGAGAGAGAGAAGAAACATCATTGTGAGAGAGAAACATGGATCAATTGCCTCCTGTACCTGCCCTGACCAGGGATCCAAGCTAAAACCTAGGTGTGTGCCCTGGCCGGAAATGAAACCCACTACCTTCTGGTGTATAGGATGGCGCTCCAACCAACTGAGCCACCTGGCCAGGGCTGGTCATATTTCAGTATCAGGGTTCAGTTAGCCTTCTGGTTGGATTCGATGCAGAAGTCCACTATTAAGTGGCAGCACAGAGTGCCACTAAAGGTTGTCAGCTGCTGGGCTTGCCAGTTCTTACACCTTATTCTGCAAGCATGGGAATGCCAAAATGATTGCCAGACAGTCTGTGTGCCTATAACTCAACTTATTTCAACAGTGGAAAATTATTTGGCTAATGCGTAAGATCTCTACTGCAGAATCAGAGAATGTTACTTAGAGCTGCTTATAGGTAATCTGGAGTGTGGAATCCTGAATGGGTTTTTTCAAAGGGTGCTCAGATGTAATTTTTTTAAACACTTGAAATGTTAACTAATCACCCCTAACTAATGTATGTATATGTCTCATTACCTACACTGAAGTATTTAAAAGTAAACTGTAAACAGTCTAACACTTTCATAAATCCGTAATGCATCCTGGAAGTTACTGGAGAAAGACAACTATTATTTTTGCCCATAATTGGATGAAACATACTAAAAACTCTTTCTTTATGGCACTTATCCCAGTTTAAAATTACATATTCATGCAGTATTTATGCCTATCTTATTCCTACACAGTAAACTCCGTGAGGGCACCATGTCTATTTTATTCACTATTTTATTCTCAGAGCTTGGTATAGTGCCTGGAATATATAGACACTTAATAAGTATTTGTGGACTATAGTGTGATATGTGGGATATGGGGAAGTCCCTTACCTCAAAGCATGTTTTCTAATGGCGAGGCCACAGTCATCTTGGTTCCTGGTAGAGCTATTATTCCTTAGAGTTAAAGCTATTTAAAGCTTCTGTTACATTTTCTGCCATAACAAACAAAGCCCTCTGTGATCTGGCTCTGCCTCCTCCTCAGTATAAACAATAATTAATGTGGAAGCCTTTGCTGGCTGCTAATGCAGCTTAGACTAGGCATTTATCCCTGTGTACTGTTGTCATACCTTGTTCACTTCTTCATCACCACCCCTATTTTACTGTGCTACAGATGTCCATCCCAGTACCATGTTGTCAGTTCCTTTACTATGGGTGCAGCGCTAGCCCATACAGGGCTTTCAAATAATAGCTGAATTTAAGAATTCAACAAAGATATTTTTGAGAAACCATGAGTAGGAAGGCTTTTGTTTCTGTTTATTATTTTCTACCTGTTCACTTGTGTTTTGTGGTAACCTTTACTGTTTCACCCACAATCCCACAAGAAAGCAAATTTATATACTTTGTTTTTGTATACGCTGGTATTGCTTTCCCTTGTTAAACAATGTGATTAAGCTTGTGTCTCAGTCTGTTTATTATCAATGAAGGGGTATACAAATTACAGAGTATCAGCTCCTATCTATTACCTAACCCCCCCCCCCAATCTAATCTAGGTTGCCATTCCTAAGGAATCTTTCCAAGCTGAATATCAAGTTTAGTATCAAAATCATGATCCTGTATCTCTTTACTCAGGGATCCTCTGGTCTCTCATTTTGTTCTCCTTTGGTTCCTGAAGGCAACCTTCTAATTTTATTACTTTGGACTAGGATCCTGGCCATATCTTTTCATCTTTGTGACAAAGATTATTTTATCACATGATCTGGGTCTTATATTGGCAAAATGCTTACTATTTGTGTTAAATATCACTCTTAGTTTCATTGCTGCATGGTACCATTTTTAGTACTCTTGGGCGCATTAAAAAAAAAGGTCCCTGTTCTCAAGATTATATTTTGTTGGAGAGCAGTGGTTTATTTTTTTCTTGTTTTTTTTTTTCTTTATTGGTTTTAGAGAGAGGAAGGGAGAAGGAGAGAGAGAGATAAAAATATCGCTGAGAGAGAACATCGAGTGGCCGCCTCCTGCATGTCCCCCACTAGGGATCGGGCCCACAACCTGGGCATGTTGCCTGACCAGGAATCGAATCAGCGACCTCTTGATGCATGGGATCGATGCTCAACCGGCAATGGTTTATTTCTACAAAAAGTTTAACAAGAATAAAAAAAAAATAAGAGTTGTGATTAAGTGCCATGTAAGCAGGGTTGACAAGAGATGGGTTGGTTATAGGAGGAAAAGTGATTGCAGTGAGCCATCAGAAATGGATTTCAGAGGTGAATACAGTTTCTGCTGATCCTTGGGAGGTGGCTAGAATGAGAACATTGTAAGTTGGGGAATGCCCTGGTGAGGGGCAAGAATTAGATATTCCAGTGGCGTATAAAAAATAGTAGCGGTCTTGAGAGCAAAGGATATATGAGCAAAGGAGTATAGAAAGAGATGAGCAGAGATGAAAAGTACCAGAGCTGGAATGGGAAAGGAAGATCGACCAAGAAAGTGCAGTGTCCCAGAGTCCAGGGAGGCGAGATTCAGGAAAGGAGGAATAGCCAGCAGGGTTAGCTGCTTAGGGATCAAGAAAGGTTATTGGATTTGACAGTTAGGATGTCTATGACTTTTTGAGAATGCAGTTAAGTGGAATAATCAAGGTTTCAGATAACAGTGGGTGGGTGGACAAGGATAAGTAAGAGAAGTAGATTTTGTGAGGCATAGAGTAAAAAGACTAGGTTTTGGAGCCAGACAGTTTTTGGTATAAATTCTGACTCTCTTGCATTCATGCTGAATGGTCTTGGGCATATATTTTCATGTTTCTGCACTTCAGATTAAATAAATAAATAAATAAAATAGGGATAATATATCTTGATGAATTGCTATAGAGTTAGGTAATATAAGCAGAGTCTTTAATAAAGCTCCTTTTCTTGCTCACACACAACTAAGGATGTTAAAGTAGCACCATCCCTAAAAGTGGCTCATTAGAGCAGTGATTGGTGGTAAAGTTATGTTTAGTCTTTGTTTTAAATGTACCCCTGTCATACCACATGGAAAGTTTAGCAGCTTTAACAAACATCAGGAAAGATGCCAGCCTTTTATTTTTCTAGAAGATATTTTGAGTATATAATGTATTTTTTCCCCCAGTTTGGCATCATAACTTTTTTTTAGCGGTATGTTATAGACAGAAAAGAGATTTTAGGACTAGATTGACTGACTGACTGTTATATTTTCTTTGTACAGGCTGATTTCACTTTGATAGCTAATGTGAGGGTCTGAATTCAGGGAAATATATCATAAACTTCTGTTTCTGAGCAAACTAGAATTCTCTTGACTCCTTTTCTTGCAGTGAGCATTGTGTGTTGACTTGGACAGAAAGAGGAATTTATATTTTCATTCCTCAGAATGTTCAAGTTCTTCTTTGGAGTGAAGTCAAAGGTAATTATATTTTTCATTCTTATGTAATTTATAATCTTGTTCTTGTGGAAGATTGATTATAGGAGGATTCTCTTGTAGTGTAAGGTGTAGACAAATAGAAACAGGTAACGTTTCTTTTAAACATTAACATCATAGATGTTTCCCATTGAACGGTAGTTCACAAGCATACATTTGTAAATTTGTGTTCAGTTATTTAGTTTTTCTTGCCTTTTAAACTTTTAAAGATTTTTCAAAAATATGTTTTATTTATTTCATTTTTACTTTTTTTTATCCTCACCTGAGGACATTTTTTCAATATTTTGTTCAGATAGAGTGGGAGGGAGAGAGAGAGAGAAACATTGACATGAAAGGGACACATCTAGTGGTTGCCATCCGCACGACCCAACCAGGGCCGGGGACTAACTGCAACTGAGGTACGTGCCCTTAGCGGGAACCAAACCTGGGTCTCTCTGGACTGCAGGCCGACACTCTAACCGCTGAGCCAAACCAGCCAGGGCTCAAAAATATGTTTCAATTGATTTTTTTAGAGAGGAAGCGGGAGAGAGATAGAAAAATCTATGTGAAAGAGAAACATTGATCTGCTGTGTCCTGCATGCCCCGCACTGGGGATCGAGCCGGCAACCTGGGTTTGTGCCCTGACCAGAAATCAAATTGAGACCTCTCAGTCCATGGGATGATGCTCTATCCACTGAGCCACACTGGGCTTGTGCCTTTTAAACTTCTAAATATAGCTTTTATTTCATCTTAAATATTAGTAACCACTGTTAAGGATTGAATGGGTTTTTCCCACTCCACTTTTCCTGAATCTTTACTCCTATTAGAAATCTTGCTTTAATCCTTTTTTTTGTTTTGTTTTTTTCTTTTTAAATATATTTTCATTGATTTTTTTTTTTTACAGAGAGAGAGAAAGGGAGAGGAGGAGAGAGAGAATGGGAAAGTGATGTGAAAGTGAAACATCTGTTGGTTGCCTCCCACACACCCCCTGACCAAGATTAAACACACAACCTGGGTATGTTCCCTGACTGGGAATTGAACCAGCTATCTTGCAGTGCACAGGATGACACTCAGCCAATGGAACCACATGGGCCAGGGCTTAATTTCTGTTTTGTGTCTCAATAGTTGGGGTTTAAAAAGTCCTTATGGGAAGAATAGCCATATGGCTGAGACAGAAAATCATTCTCTGTTCTTTTGGTTAAAATCAGAAATAGAGCCCAGGCCAGTATGGCTCCGTGAATTGAGCATCGTCCCATGGTCTGAGAGGTCCCAGTTTGATTCCCAGTCAGAGCACGTGCCCAAGTTGTAGGCTCAATCCCCATAGTGGGACATAAAGGAGGCAGCCAATCCATGTTTCTCTCTCATGTTGATGTTTCTATCTCTCTCTCTTCCTCTCTAAAAAAAAAAAAATCAATAAAATATTTAAAAAAAAAAGAAATAGAGGAAATCTAGGGTTTTTTTTTAGCATTGCTTCTCAGGGAGTATATTTGACTTTTGGGTCATTTTCTGCTTTGTAAAAACATAAAAATAAAGAAAACATTATTTACCGATATGATCACCATTGATTTCCTGTGGATTAAGTACTCTGTGGGTGTCCCATGAAAACTAGTCAATTTTTAGACTTCTAAAAATTGAAATACACAGTGAATAAGCTTAAGGTTATACAATGTGTTAGTTTGATATATTTATATATTGCAATATGATTACCACCTTTTGTGAGAACATTTAAGGTCTAGTCTGTTAGCAACTTTGACATATATAATAACTATAATCACAACACTGTGCATTAATGCTTTAGAACTTACTCATCTTCTAACTGCAGATGTGTATCCTTTGACCAACATACCCCCGATTCCCCTGCAATCCAGTCCCTGGAAAGCACCATTCTACTGTTTCGATGAGCCTGTCTTTTTAGATTCCACATATAAGTGATAATCAAAACTAGTTTTTATTTATTAAAAAAATTTTTTGTTCTTTATTGATTTAAGAGAGAGAGGAAGTGAGAGGGAGAGAGAGATAGAAACATCAATGAGAAAGAACATCCCCTGATTGGCCGCCTCCTGCATGCCCTCTACTGGGGATTCGGCCCACAACCTGGGCATGTGCCCTGACCTGGAATCTAACCAGCGACCTCCTGGTGCATGGGTTGATGCTCAACCACTGAGCCACATAAGCCAGGCTCAAAACTAGTTTTTAAAGTCCTTTTGTGATGATCTGTTTTTCCATAAACTGTTTGTTGATTTACATACTGTGTTAAAATCCATTCATTGATATTAGATTATAACTCTCAGAAATGTCATAATCTGGTCTCTAATGTAGAGTGCTTTCTTTTAAAGTCCCTGTTCTTTTTCACAGAAAATAGCATTTTCAACATAGGATCTTAGATCAGAGAGATTTGTTTCTTTCTCTGTATCTTTTATTCTTGTTATTTTTAGAATACTAAGATGTGATTTCTTTCTTTTTTTAATCCTCACCCGAGGACATTTTTCCATTTTTTTTGTTCAGATAGAGTGGGAGGGAAAGAGAGAGAGAGAAACATCGACACGAAAGGGATAATCGAGTGGCTGCCTCCTGCATGACCCAACCAGGGCCGGGGACAAACTGCAACCAAGGTACGTGCCCTTAGCGGGAACCAAACCTGAGTCTCTCTGGACCGCAGGCTGATGCTCTAACTGCTGAGCCAAACTGGCCAGGGCTAAGATGTGATTTCTTTATTGAAGTGCAAATATAAAAAGATGAAGTTCAAGCCAAACCTATATCAAAAGTGAATTTACTAGAATAATTTCAGCCCTTGCAATAATGGAAAAGGAATATTTGGCTAACATCCTGTGTGCTCATTCCTGTGGTTTTTGTAGATATTCAGGATGTGGCTGTCTGCAAGAATGAGCTGTTCTGTTTGCACCTAAATGGGAAAATCTCACATCTCTCCCTCTTATCTGTGGAACGCTGTGTGGAACGCCTGCTAAGGAGAGGCCTATGGAACCTGGCTGCTCGCACTTGCTGTCTTTTCCAAAATTCTGTCATTGCCGGCAGAGTGAGTCAAAGAGCTTACATGTTTATCTGGGTTGGTAAAACCATCCTGACCTGCAGGATTGTGCTACAAAGTTGTTTGACTTAATTAGCCTTTTCTTTTCTTTTTTTTTGGTATGTGCCCCTAGCAGGAACCAAACCTGGGACTCTCTGGTCCACAGGCTGACGCTCCAACCACTGAGCCAAACTGGCCAGGGCTACTAGCCTTTTCTATATGACCAAAATAAAGCATCAATGAATTTCAAAAGGAAGCATGACAAATAAATCTACGGGTGGGGGGAGGGTAAGAAAAAGGTATACTTTTCCATTAAAAAATAAATAAGTTTACCCACATATTTATTTGAATTTCAGACCTTGTTTTAAGGGGGATGTTTGTATATATGGTAACTCCTAATTAAAATTTTAATTTCTAAGTTAATTCTCATTAAATCTTTCACTAGGTTGTGAAACCTTTTAAAGCACTTCTAAGGTTTTATGTTCTATATATTAGCTATTTGAATGTAGATTTAGTTACAAATAGTAGGCTATTCTAATGGGTTTCTACTTATTTTTTTATTAGGGAAGAAAATCTTTGACTGTAGATAAATTGGAGCATTTGAAATCTCAGCTGGACCTTACAACCTACAGTGATTTGATTTCTCAACTGGAAGAATTGATCTTAAAATTTGAACCTTTGGATTCAGCTTGCAGCAGTAGAAGAAGCTCCATTTCTTCACATGTAGGTATTCTCACTTTTAAAGGGGTTTTCCTGTACAGTAAAATTTCCTAACTTGGGTTGTATATACTGCTGGTATCCCCAAACTTATCTTCCTTTCCATATAATAGATTTTTTAGGGGAGGGAGAGTCAAGAAGGGCTTTCTTTCAGCCGTTCAGCAGTCCTGTGAAGACTTCGTTTAGGTTTATCTTGGAACCACATTTTGTTTTGTCATTTTTAAATTATATTCTGTTCACAAATGCACCTAGAGCCTCCAGCACAAATTAAGTTGTTCCTAATATGTGATTTTAGATTCTTCATGCTAATTTGAGTCTCAGTGCAGCTCAGGATTGCCTCTTTCAGTCCCCATTCACACTGGCAGGCTTTATAGAGATAAGCTAGAGAAATACGGTAGCATGATGCCTCTAGCATGTGGGAGTGACCAGCTGCCAGGAGCCTGGAACTTGTTCACCGGTTTGTCCTCATAAGCCATAATTGTTATTATTGACGTGCTGCTTTTACTCTTGGTTTTTCTCTTAAAAAGCTATATTGTGTTATAAAGGAAAGTTTTACTTTGATATTTTGGGAATTCTTTTCATTTTTAGGAAAGTTTCAGCATCTTGGACTCTGGTATTTATCGTATCATTAGTGGTAGAAGAGGCAGTCAGTCAGATGAAGACTCTTGTTCCCTTCACAGCCAAACCCTCTCAGAAGATGAGAGACTTAAAGAATTCATCTCACATCAAGAAGAGGAACAGCCAGATCAGTGTTGCAGCTCACAAGGAAATGAAGGTGATGAGTGTGTCTTTTATTGGTTGCAGATGTGAACCACTTAATTTCTGTCCCTTTTATTTGCTACGATTATCTTGTACATAGAGTTTCCTGTAAGGTGTTAATAATTTTTATTATGTTGATAGACTTTCCATCCAGATCTGTTGATCTGCTCATCAGTAGAAGAGTGGATTTGTGTTTAGTTGTGTTTCTCCCCCCCACCCCCTCATATTTAGGCTAACATTGGTAAAGTACCTAATTTTAATCATGCATCAAAGTGCTGGAAATGTTAAGAAAGGAAGTCATTAACCAAAGGAGTGGCACAACTTTATTTTGACTAACCAACTTATTTTCCATCAGGAATGAAAAATTACTACAGTTTTGGGGCCATTGCCTACACTTTTTGATGTTTGAGCATTCCTGTGACCGAACTGTTGAGAAGAAATTAATAGAGACTCTAAACTTCCTTTTTGACTTATGGGGATTCAGGGTTAGTAGGAAAATGAAGGTACCTGCCTGAGTGTTTTATATGTTAACCATCCCATGCACCTTGTAAACCTGTGTTCTGCTCATTTGTGCCTGGGTCAGTTGTGATTTTGGTATTGACTCTTTCATTTCCTTTGGTTTATTTATTTCAGAACTTCTTTAAAGATTAAAAAAACTCACATGTGATTAGATTTTTGTTTTTCCTCCCGATTTCATTCATCAGACAATGTTTCTCATGTTCCAGTGACGTTTGAGACAGATAAGAATGACACTTTTCTCCCCTTCAGTATTCCATTACCATTTCGCTCTCCATCTCCTCTTGTGTCTCTTCAGGCTGTGAAAGAAAGGTAAACTAATTAGTCTTGTCATTTAATCCCATTCTGGTTTTACTTCCTTTGTCACCTTAGGTCCTTAAGTGCTGAGAATGGAAAGACATTTTAAATGAGAAAAAAAATCTCTAGGTTATTTCTCATATCACCTGTTATATAGAGATGTTAAGTTCTCACATCCGTCTTGGGGAATTTAGCTTCCTCTTTGTTTGAGTAGCTGGATATTTGAATTGTTAGAGATGTGGGTTTTTAACCCACAGAGAGCAAAAGTTTGAAAACTGCTTTTTTTCTCATCCCTCATAGGAACAATTTCCATATATCTTTAATCATTTATCTTTATTTTATTTATTGATTTTTAGAGAGAGGGAGAGAAAGAGAGAGAAACATTGATTTGTTGTTCCACTTATCTATGCATTCATTGGTTGATTCTTGTATGTGCCCTGACCGGAGTTTGAACCCGCAACCTTGATGTATCAGGACAGTGCTCTAACCAACTGAACTATCTGGCCAGAGCTACCATTAGTCATTTCTATTTTTTTTCTTTTAATATTTTTAAAAATTGCTTTTTAGAGGGAGAGGAAGGAAGAGGGAGAGAGAAACATTGATGTGATCTTGAAACATTGATCAGCTTCCTCCTGCACACCCTCTACTGGAGATGGAGCCCACAACCCAGCATGTGCTCTGACTGGGAATCGAACTGGCAACTTCTTGGTTGCCTGGCAACTGAGCCACTCTGGCCAGGGCTCATTAGTCATTTCTTGGTCCTTTCTCAGTTTGGGCTCAGAATTGGAGACTTCAGAAATCTTTCTAGCTACTCCACGGGATCAGGATTGGCATTTAAGTTTGAGAGAGAAGACTTTGTACAGCTACTTAACTGCTTATCTGTCTTACTGGATATAAAAATTTATATGCTATGACTAATTGGCAGCTGAGTTTCATGAAGAAATTCTGTTAATTCTCTGGCCAGGTTGGGGCAGGTGGTCACATGGCCTCTTTTGCTGAAGTTGACAGAAACATCACAGACACAACTGGAGTTGAAGACCTTTACTTTAGCACTTAAAGCATTTTAGTAAACGAAGTGAATTCTTGCAATATTGTAAATTTTCTGTTGACCTTATGTGAAATATGCACTTGATTAGGGAAGTTGCTGTAAGCAGTCTCTCTTTTTTTTTAAGTTTTTAAAAAATCCTCACCCGAGCCCTGGCCGGTTTGGCTCAGCGGTTAGAGCATCAGCCTGCGGTCCAGAGAGACCCGGGTTCGGTTCCCGCTAAGGGCATGTACCTCGGTTGCAGTTTGTCCCCGGCCCTGGTTGGTCGTGCGGGTGGCAGCCACTCGATGTGTCCCTTTCACGCGTCGATGTTTCGCTCTCTCTCTCTCTCTCTCTCTCTTCCTCTCTCTCCCTCCCACTCTATCTGTGCAAAAAATGGAAAAGAATGTCCTCGGGTGAGGATAAAAAAAAAAAAAAAAAAAATCCTCACCTGAGAATATTTTTCTATTTATCTTCAGTTAGAATGGGAGGGAAGGAGAGAACAAGAGAGAGAGGGAGAGGGAGAAGGGAGAGAGAGGGAGAGAGAGACAGACAGACAGACAGACATCGACTAGTTGCCTCCCACACGGCCCTGACCAGGGCCGGCGATGAACTGCAACCAAGGTATGTGCCCTTGACAGGAATCAAACCTGAGACTCACTGGTTCATGGGCCAGCACTCTAACAGCTGAGCCATACTGTCCAGGGCACAGTCTCTCTTTTTTATTAAGTCCAAGTTGCCTTTGTGGCACTAATAGGAACATAGATAACTAGGTACTGAATTTTTCATTTTTGTCAGTAATGAGATCTTTTTTCATATTACTTTTTTTGGTGTTTGACTTCCAGTGTTTCTAGCTTTGTGCGTAAAACTACTGAGAAGATTGGCACCCTTCATACAAGCCCTGATCTGAAAGTGAGACCAGAACCCAGGGGTGATGAACAGTTATGTGAAGAAGATGTGAGTCCAGTCACATGCCCAAAGGAGGAAGACACTGAGTAAGATGTTGCATATAAATCTGTGTATATTCTAGAGGAGTCATATACCAGTTGGAAGAAAACCATAGGCTGTGACCTATTGGAGAAGCCAAATATGTAACCCTGCTCATTGTTGATTATTTATGTAGCTCATAAAAATTGTGAATACCACAAATTAAGTGTTGGAAAATTACACCTATCCATAGCAAATCTGTTAAGACACTTTTTTTTTAAATCCTCACCTGAGAATATTTTTCTATTTATCTTCAGACAGAATGGGGGGTGGGGGAAGAGAAACATCGATGTGAGAGAGACACATCAACTGGTTGCCTCCTGCATGAACCCAACCAGGGCCAGGGACAAACCACAACCAAGGTACGTGCCCTTGACTGGAATTGAACCCACAACTCATTGGTCTGTGAACCGATGCTCTAACCATGGAGCAAACTGGCTAGGGCCGTTAAGATACTTTTAATTTAATACCTCTTCCATCTGTCTCCTGCACAACCTTCTCCCCTCCAAACCTCTTCAAACTGTTGAGATATTAGAGAAGGAGTATTAAGTTAAGAGTAAGATGACCAAGGATCTAGGCCTTGTCCTGGTTCTGCTTCTGACTAAAGTGTGACTTTGGATAAGTCACTCATCATCAATGGCCTATAAGATGAGAGCATTGGTATTGATGTCTTGCCTTGTACCTTCTTATGATATGCTGGTGGTATAGTCCTTGTTCTGGCACAGTGTGAAGTGTCTTGTGTCTCTGGTTTCTGCCTTATTACATAGTTCAGGGGATCTGAGCATAAGAGGCAAGCGAGCTCAACCCTCATTCAGGAATTGAGAGAGAGATGCATAGGCCCTGTGTGTCTAGATAGTCAGATGGAATAAAAGGTGTGTTATCCTCAAAGTAACTTAGTGAATCCATATATTTATAGGAAAAATGTTCAGATATTGCTGTGGCATTTAAGGCAGCCCTTAGTCTGACCTTAGCTCACCTTTCCAGCTCATTTTTAACCACATCCTGGGTTGTACACCTCACTATCTTTCTTTGTTTCTTCTACTTGCAGTATTTCTCCTCCATTTTTTTCTAACACAAATGCCACCTCCTCGGGAAAGCTTCCATTGATTGCCTGGTCACAACAATTATTCCTTTTTGGTGTGTGCTTTCATAGCACAGTTGTTTGTGTTGCTCTTTATCATTCGATTATCTTTTTATATTATAGTTGGTTGTTTGCATGCCTTTCTTGCTGACTTGAGCTGACTTATCTTGAGACCATTGACCATTTTGTATACTCATCTGTTTATCTCATGCACATTAAGTATAATACCTGCCACTTAGTAAGGACTTAGAAATATTTGTCTAAGGAAGCTATAAATCCCTCTAATTCTTTTTTTTGTTAATCCTCACCTGAGGATACTTTTTCCATTGATTTTTTTTTTTAGAGAGAGTGAAAGGGAGGGGAAGGGGAGGGGGAGCAAGACATTAATGTAAGAAAGATATATTGATCAGTTAATTCTGCACATGCCCTGACTGGGGACCAAACCCACAACCCAGGCATGTGCCCTTTACTGGAAATTAAACTCTTCAACCACTGACCCACACTGGCCAGGGCCCCATCTCACTCTTTTCACACTTTTCTAGGGAAGTAAAAGAAGTATCTAGTCAACCTCCAGAAGAAGATAAATTCCAAGAACTCAAAATAGCCACAGCAGAAGCACTGTAAGTATTTATGAAGGAGGAAGTTTTGTAGTAAACAGGAATGACTTTTTGAGATCATCACTAGTGTGGTCCTTAGACAATGTAGGGCAGAGGTAGTCTCATTTGGAATTGAAATTCAAGAATTAGTATATAGTTAATATTCTCTGTGTTGTTATGTTGCTGAGATAATTGTTAAAGGGTAGAAAAGTAACATTTATTCCAGATAAATATGTTGTATTTGTTTGGTTTATTTAGCATGAAATAATTTGTTAAAAAAAATACACATGAAACAAATTTCATACTTGTCTGTCTTGTATAGGACCAAGCTACAGGACCCACTGGTTTTATTTGAACCGAAGTCTCTGAGAATGGTTTTACAGGAGTGGCTTTCACTGTTAGAAAAAACATTTGCCATAAAAGACTTTTCAGGCATTTCAGCCACTGGCAACTCATCCATGACATCGAATGAGGATGTACTGTTGTTTGATGAGTCAAAAACTGGAATATTAGATGAAGATAATGAAAAAGAAAAGGGCTCTTTAGGCAGTGAAGAAACTATTGATCAAAAGGCATGCGAATCTGTAAATAGTCTGAGGGAGCCCATGGATGACCTTTTTCAAGTATATTCCCCATGCAACATAGCAAACAGTTTTCGAAAGGACCTGGCTGAGTTGACAACATTGTGTTTGGAATTGAATGTACTGACTTCTGAGATCAAAAGCACAAGTGGACATGTGGATTATACTTTGCAACAGTGCTCTCCTGAAATTCTGGCTTGTCAGTTCCTAAAGAAGTACTTTTTTCTCCTGGACTTGAAGAGAGCAAAGGAGAGTGTCAAGCTTAGTTACACTGACAGTCCTTGTGTTTGGGATACTTTTATTGAAGGATTGAAAGGTAATAATCAGATTGATGGGGGAAAAAGGAGAAGCATTTGTAACAAAAATAAATTAATTTAAAAAAATCAGATTTTCTTACCAAGGATAGAAATTGGTATAGAGCACCTTGGCATTTTTGGGTTTAAACTATAAGGATTAAGCAGAAAATTACCTCTCTTCTGGTCAACCTCCATTCTGTTTTCCACTCAATTTAATTTTTAATAGTTCTTTAAATATTATTTTAATTTGCATCTGTATTATAAGAAAGTTTTTTCTTTCAGTCATATTTAGAAAATGACAAATGTTGGAGAAGTTGGGGTTAAAGTAAGATTTCATAAATTCAGATATATAGAAATGAGAAAATCCCTCATAAGTTACTAATATTGAAATAATGTTTACCATTTATTGAGTACTTACTGTATGCCACATATTATGCTAAACACTTTACGGGCATTGTTTCATTTTATCTTTACCTGAGTCTTTAGAGGAGATGGTGTTATTCCATTTAATCGGTGAGGAAACAGGCACAGAGAGATTATAATAGTTAAGTAGGCTAAACTGCTATAATAAATATCTCAAGAAATACTAACTCAGTATTACATGAGTTTATTTGTTGCTCATATACTAGATAGATGTTTCAGATCCAAGATAGATGTTTCAGATCAGTGGGCAGCTCTCTTCCATATAATAATCTAGAGATCAGAGTTCCTTCTGTTTCTTTGAGTTCCATCCTTCTTTGGGTTTGTGATTGAGATTGGGTTGTTATGTCTTGGGGAAAGCATCTGCTCTCTTCTAGGCCTGGCCTAGTAGAGTGGGTTTCGTCTCTTCTGTTCACATTCCATTGGTAGGAATTCTATCACATGACCCCAGTTAACTGCAGAGGAGACTGGGAAATGTAACCCATGCAGGTGTTCAGAAGGAAGAGAATGGATGTGGGTGAAAAGCTTGTATGTCTGCCTCAGAGATTTTGGTTGAAAGCCAGCAGTCTCTCCTTTACACTTGATTGAAGGTCATACTATTTGTCATCCCCATATAGAAACCAGCTCTCATACCCCAGAGACCATGCATGCCCTTTCTGCTGCACAGGCCCAGGTTTTTGAAGACGCGAATTTTCTTAATTCAACATTCTGCTTTAATAAAAGATGCCATGTGTCTAGTAATTAATTTAGACTTTAAGCACACTTTTCATTCATTACCAAAAGTGAATAGTCACAAGTCGAGATAATGTTTTTATATAATTGACTTAAAGATAATTTTGTTTTCTAGAAAGTGGATGTATAGTTATGATTCTGCTTAAGTTGATATTTAGCAGTTAAAAGTATAAGAAATGATTTCAATTTGTTTTTCTGAGTTGTGGTAGACTGTCTCCTATGTGAAATAAGAAAAATTGTTTCTCTTCAAATAGGTTCACATGTTTGACATTATTGCTTACTGGAAATTTGCTATGTATGTCTCTATTATGTGATCATACCCAACATGGGTAACAGGAAAATAACAGAAAAGAGACTCTTATCAGCCTCATTGGTTGTTAACTTATTGGAGCTGATTAGAACAGGCGTGATGGCTAGGTTGAGATAATACACTGCTTACTTGAGTTTAGGGTTAAGTTTGGCTTAGCTTCCACCTAATCATAAAGCTTTCCCTCACTTTTCAAGCTTTAAGTGGTGGCCTCCTCCCCAAATTCCCTTAAATACTTATTGCCTGATACAGTCAACTAGGAAATAATAAAACTGGGAAGAAATTAATTTTTTTGAAAACAGGTATATCAGAAATTCAAGGTTGGCATTTTAGAAATGATTTGTTGAACAGGCTTCACCCTACAAAAATGCTGTAATTATTAGAAAACAGCTTTTTAACAATGAGTAGTTTTTTTTTTTTATTATTATTATCCTCACACGAGGACATTTTTCCATTTTTTGTTCATGTAGAGTGGGAGGGAGAGAGAGGAACAGAGAGAGAGAGAGAAACATCGATGTGAAAGAAACACATCGAGTGGCTGCCACCCGCACGACTGACCAGAGCCGGGGACAAACTGCAACCGACGTACATGCCCTTAGCGGGAACCAAACCCGGGTCTCTCAGGACCACAGGCCGACGCTCTAACCGCTGAGCCAAACCGGCCAGGGCTAGTTTTTGTTTTTTAATAAATATGTTTTTATTGACTTTTTTAGAGGGAGAGATAGAAACATCGATGTGAGAGAGAAACATTGATCTGCTGCCTCCTGCATATCCCCTGCTAGGGTGGAGGCCACAACCCAGGCATGTGCCCTGACTGGGAATTGTACTGGAACCTCTCAGTCCACTGAGCCCACCCACTGCGCTAGCTACGAGTAGTTTTAACTAGATCATCATTCACTTTATTTACCATACTTGGCTTTAAATGACCTGGCTATTCACAAAGGTCAAGTCTTCCTTCAGAGAAAGATTTGCTGTAATTGGTGTTCTAAAAAATTGGTAAAATTTTAAATGTAATTAAAGTTTAGTAATGTATTTTGTTCTCGATGGCAAAGGGCACTGGTTCTAGGAAAAAATAGGAATTTGTCATTGATGGTAGATATACACACACACACACGCACACATATCCCTTTTTCAAGGATAGTACAGACTTATATATTGGTGATCTGTTACTTTGTTTTGTTTAAAACTTTTAATATGCTCTGCCTCCCAATTTGATTTTAATGTTCTTAAAAGTAGAGGTTGTATCTTGTTCTTCTTGTCTGTCTCTCCTACAATGCTTAATAAGCATTAGGTCTTGCACATGATAGGTGCATGAATATTAGTTGTTGTACGAATGTGTTCATGAATCAAATATTTACAGCTATGAGATGAAGGAAAAGGGTGTGTTTTATCTTTCAGAAATGGCGAGTTCCAATCCTACATATATGGCAATGGAAGAAGGAGATCTACCATCAAGATTAAAGCTAGTGGATGACTCGGTCCCTTTTGACAGTCCTTTGTTGATTGCTTATGCTACCCAGTAAGTTGTTTATACGAACTAAAAAATCATATGCATATTTTTGGTCTTAGTCTCAAGTTTTACTCAGTTGCATGTTGGTCAGCTTCTTGTTAGTATATTTATTTTTATTTTTGGTAAGTACTATACTTAGATACTATGACCAAGTTATATCATCTCACTGAAGTTGGAGACTAATATGTTTTATTTTTAAATGTAGATTGTATGAGAAGTTCGGGGAATCTGCCCTTCGATCCTTAATCAAGTTTTACCCATCTATTTTGCCTTCGGATGTCTTGCAACTTTGTCATCATCATCCTGCTGAGTTTTTGGCCTATTTAGACAGTCTGGTGAAATCAAGGCCTGAAGATCAACGGTGAGAAGGCGAAAATTGTTTGCAAACTCTTCTTCTAATGGGGTATTGTTTCTCTTGTATAAGCAGTTGTAGCATTTTTACTATCAACTGCCACAGAATTGAGGCATATACTATGGAAGAGAAGGATTTGGGAAGTTGTGTACATTCTTTCAGGGTTCATAGTACACATCATAAATGTGCACATACTATATATCTCTTCCCTTCCTCCTTTTCTCACTTTTAGGGATTCTTGGATCATCAGTGTAAAATTAAACCCCAGCTCAGGGCCCATGCTAAGACAGATAAGCCTTCTTGTGTTCTCCGCCAGTGAGTGGATTTATTGCCACCATTTTCATTGATGATAGCCCAGCTTTTTGTGGGTGGACCTCAGTTCCAGCTCTTTGTCTTATTTATTTATTTATTTATTTATTTATATATTTTTAAATCCTCACTTGAGGACATTTTTGCATTTATCTTCAGATAGAGCAGGAGGGGGAGAGAGAGGAAGAGAGAGAGAGAGAAACATCGATATGAGAGAGAGACATCGACTGGCTGCCACTCACACGACCCCAACCGAGGCCAGAGACAGTTGCACCCGAGGTACGTGCCCTTAGCAGGAACTGAACCTGGGCCTCTCTGGTCTGCAGGCGATGCTCTAACCGCTGAGCCAAACTGGCCAGGGCTATTTATATTTATTTTTTATCCTCACCCGAGGACATTTTTTATTTATTTTGAGATAGAGCGAAAGGGAGAAGGGGAGGAAGAGAGAGAGAGAAACATCCATGTGAGAGAGACACATTGAGTGGCTGCCACCCACACGACCCCAACCAAGCCAGGGATAAACTGCAACCGAAGTACGTACCCTCAGCGGGAACCAAACCCGAGCCTCTTTGGTCCGAGCGCCAATGCTCTAACCGCTGAGCCAAACTGGCCAGGGGTGCATCTTTTTTAGACTGAGGCCTCATTTCCTGTCTCCACATAGCCCCTGGTTATTAAGACTGGCTGTTCTTGCCACTCTGCACTCCTTCTCCTACTCTCCCTCTCCACCCTTCTTCCTCTGATTGATTCACATTTGGCTTTTATTTCTCTATTTATTTTTGGCACTTTGGTATTTCCCTTATTGTCTTGGAGTTCACCTGTTCATTTTTTAATTTTTTTTATTTTAATCCTCACTCGAGGACATCTGTCCATTTTTTGTTCAGATAGGGAGGGAGTGAGGGAGGGAGGGAGAGAGAGAGAGAAACATCGATGTGAAAGGGACACGTTGAGTGGTTGCCACCCACACGACCCAACCAGGGCTGGGACAAACTGCAACCGAGGCACAAGCCCTTAGCGGGAACTGAACCCAGGTCTCTCTGGACCACAGTCCAACGCTCTAACTGCTGAGCCAAACTGGCCAGGGCTCAACTATTCATTTAAAAGGGTATTAGATTTTCACCAGTTTTTCTAGACATTTTGTAGCAGAGGATTTTCAAGTTATTTCATACACTGTATTAATCTTTCAGTAACATTTTCACATCCCCACATTTTATGGTTTCCTTTCTCAGCTTGAAGATTGGTGTGTTTTTTCCCCTACTTTCTCTTAGGCAATCCTTCCTTGAGTCCCTTCTACAACCAGAGTCTTTAAGATTGGATTGGCTGCTTTTGGCAGTGTCCCATGATGCTCCCCCAAGCACAAGCACTATGGATGATGAAGGAAACCCCAGGTATAGAAGTCCTCTTTCTAAGCTCTGGTGTTCCTTTGAAATGGAACTGGTTTATTCACATACAGCATTCTGGGCTTATTTCAGAAACAGCTCTGGAAGAGACTGAGCCAAGTCATGGTAGTAATGAGATTGAGTGTACTTCCTAGTGGTTCTGAACATTTTTTGAGTTATAGATCCTATAGAACCTGATGATTTCTCTCAGAAAAATGCACATTTGTGCAAAATTTTACACATGATTTCAGTAAATTAAACTGTCCCCCGTAAGCTTTTTCATGGACACACATTAAGAGCCTTCAGTAACTAAACCTGTTAGAAGGGAAAAAATTGTGCATATTTGTTTGTCTGTGTGTTTTCTTCCTAGAAATTTCTAGATATAACCTGATTTAGGATTAAAAAAATAGAATTCATAAATAATACACACTGATACTTATAATGTATCAGAAATGATGCTTGTGTTTTCCTCCAGGAGAAGCTTTAAAAGCCCCCAAATGCCTAGCCTATATGTCTAGACAGAAGGTCTGGAAGGATAGACAGAGGCTGTCTGTGAGTGATGGAATTATAGGCTTCTTTCTTTTGTTTTTGATTACCTAAAAATGTCTAATTTTAAAAAATAAATAGGTACTTGTTATAGGAAAACTGTTTATCAAAAGCCAATTAGAAATATTTGAAAGATATAATAATAATGGAACAAGTATAATTAAACTCTGCTCTTCCCTATTAGATGATTGATAAGCATTTTGTAGAATTTATTTCCTATCTAATTTATGGAGTTTTTCTTTTCACAGGCCTCATTCACACTTGTTTTCCTGGGGTTACAGTCAGCTGATTCTTTATCTAATTAAACTACCTGCAGATTTTACAACCAAAGAGAAAATGACTGACATCTGCAGTTCTAGTGGGTAAGAGAATTTTCTGAGAAGCTGAAGTTAAAATTACAATCATTTCAGTTAATAACTTTGTAGTTCAGGGCCTGAATTGATATACTTTTATTATTTGCAAATTCTTTTTGCAACGGGAAAGTATCTTTTTGTTTTAAGTGATAGTAAAGTATACAAATTTTTCCTTTTAAATTTTGTGCATATTTTTTCTTTGTGTGGAAGAGACAGGCCTTTGCTAACTCCTCTTCTCCCCTTCTGCTTAGTTGCTAACCCCAGGCATGCAAATGGTATTTAATTAAGCACTAGACTGTGATTTGAATTGTAATTGCTATAGGGTTGTCAGAATAGGGAGGGATCAGAATGGGCTCTAGAATTGCAGGTGAAGGTCTCAGGGAGGTGGTGAGACTTGGGAGGTAAACCCTGAAGGCTGGATAGGATTTGTATTTAAAAGGAGCCAGGAGCCCTGGCCGGTTTGGCTCAGCGGTTGGAGCGTCGGCCTGCGGTCCTGAGAGACCCGGGTTTGGTTCCCACTAGGGGCGCGTACCTCGGTTGCAGTTTGTCCCCGGCCCTGGTCGGTTGTGCGGGTGGCAACCACTCGATGTGTTCCTTTCACATCGATGTTTCTCTCTCTCTCTCTGTTCCTCTCTCTCCCTCCCACTCTACCTGAACAAAAAATGGAAAAATGTCCTCGGGTGAGGATAAAAAATAAAATAAAATAAAAGGAGCCAGGAAGAGGGCTGGTAAGGTGAAAGAAATAAGAAGAATAAGGGCATGAAAAACTGTCATTGCTTTTTTTTTTAAATCCTCACCCGAGGACATTTTTGCATTCATCTTCAGATAGAGTGAGAGGGAGAGAGGGAGGAAGAGAGAGAAAGAGAGAAACATCTATGTGAGAGAGACACATCGACTGGCTGCCACCTACATGACCCCAACCGGGGCCGGGGACAAACTGTAATCATGGTATGTGCTCTTAGTGGGAACCAACTCTCTGGACCACGAGCTGATGCTCTAACTGCTGAGCCAAACCGGCCAGGGCAGAGACATTGCTTTTTATTCATACTATGTATTTGTCAGTTATTTATTGCTGGCCATGTTATTGTATGGCTCCACCTGGATTGTAATGTTTTGGAGATTGGGACCTATTTCTTCATTTTCCCTCATAATGGCAGGTACTTGATACATATTTATTCATTGATAATGAAGGAAGAGACTAGACTAGCTAGGTGGTTGGTGATGAGATTATGGAGGACCTTGAAAGCTGGTCAAAGAACTTAGTCATCAGTAGAGACCCTTTAGACTTTTCAGTATGAAAATGACATGATAAAAATGGAGCTTTCTGGAGATCATTTTTGGTGTCATACATGAGAACGGTTTTGGAGACTAAAGCTAGCTTGGAAGTTGTTGCAGTAATTCATTCTTAACTGGGTTGGTGATTAGTAGGGCAGCAAAAGGACCACACCAAGGGACATTTCAAAGGAAAATGCAGTGAGATTTATAATACTGGATATAGCAGATGAAGGAGGGAGAAGAGTCAAGGAGAACTTTCATGTTTGGGGAAGAATATGCTAATTTATATTAAATCTTAACAGATCAGTGCTATGTAACAGAACTTTCTATGATAATAGAAATATTCTATTCCACTGTCCAATATGGTAGCCATTAGCCACATTTGGCCATTGAGTACTTGAAACATGAATTGGTCAGCTGAAGAACTGACTTAAATTTTATTTACTTTTATTTAAATTTAAATAGCCACATGAACCTAGTATTTTTTATAATGGACAGCACAGCTCCAGATAAATTCACTGCCTTTTATTCTTTTCTTCACCTTTGGTCTCTTTAAAGTTTCTGGCCTGGATATCTTACTCTCTGTTTGGAGCTGGAGAGAAGAAGAGAGGCCTTCACCAACATTGTGTATTTGAATGATATGAGCCTGATGGAAGGGGACAGTGGTATGTAAATCCCAATTGGTTACTCTTGGTTATAGTATTTTAGAAGTCACTTCAGACTTTCAATAAAATTTGGTAAACATTTTAATCATCATGTGTATAATTCTAGCTAGCTGTCAAATTTTTAGAGTTTTTTTTTGTTTTGTTTTTTTAATTCGTACCACTTGGTAATAACAAAATCATAATTAGGAATAAACTACAGGTAACTTCTCTATTTAATAAGTGCCTTCTGTGTGGTAGGCACTATACTAGGTGCTTTTCCAATTACTTTTTAAATGAGATAACAAACCCTTGGTAGTTACTATTATTTTTACTCTACAGAAGTTACAACTAAGGCCCAGAGAAAGGACGGTTACATTTCCCAAAGTCATACACCTGGTGGAGCTGGTATTCAGACCCCTGATTGACTATCTCTAAAGCTTGTGGTCAGGTTCTTTTCTCTGCATCGTGTTGATTTTTTACATAGCCAAAAGTTAGAGATCATTAAGATGAATAAAGTGCAGTAGCAGTCAAATTTCCCTAAGCTTTCACAAGTATTTAGATATTTAAAAAAATAATTTAACTTTTATCAATCCAACACAGATAAAATGTCAATCAGAAGGCCAGGACTTGGACACACCTGATACCTGAAGTCTGAGGGTCCATCCTGCATTCAGAGAGATGGTTTTGATCCATTTTAGGGTATTGCTTTATTCATCTCAGTGCAGAGATGCCAACAGCAAGACACCAGGGTCCTTCATCCAGTAGTGTCATCCGCAGTCTTTTTCAGCCCTGCTGGTGTAGGAAAGGGAACGTGGGAACAGAACAAAGAAGCCGGTGGACTGGCAAGGGTTAGCTTCAGATGTCACAGCTATAGCAGAAAGTATTGAGATCATCTTTCTTTCAGAAGTGAGAAAAAGGAGCAGGTGGTTCTGTAGGACTAGGACTACAGATGTGCAAACACTTCTGAACAATAACCAGAAGAGTTAAAATATAAATGGTTTCTATTTTTAAAGTTACTTGATTTTTATTATAGAAAAAAATACAAAATTCAGGAAGCATAAAAAAGAAATCCTCCCCACTCAGATAAAAGAACTCATGATATTTTGTTAATATGATAAAAATAATAATAGCTATTTTTGCCTTTGGTGTATTAAATGGGATCTTTTTTTGATACTTTTCTCTCCTTGTAAGTCATATTAATCACTCCAAGTTGTGTTGATTTTACTGCCAAATATATATCTTCTGTTTACTTTCTTTTGTTCCACCACCATTACTCTGGTTGTAGTGACTTGCTTATACTACTGCAGTAACCTCATAATTGGTCATCTGGCTTCCATTCTTGTTCATTCTTTTTTTTTTTTAATCCTCACCCGAGGATTTTTGTTGTTGTTTTTTGTTCAGATAGAATGGGAGGGAGAGAGAGGAAGAGAGAGAGAGAGAAACATAGACGTGAAACGGACACATCGAGTGGTTGCCACCTGTACGACCCAACCAAGGCCAGGGATAAACTGCAACTGATGTACATGCCCTTAGCAGGAACTGAACCCGGGTCTCTCTGGACCACAGGCCGAAGCTTTAACCGCTGAGCAAACTGGCCAGGGCCATTCTTGTTCATTCTTAATCCATTTTACTTAAGCAGCCAGAATGGTTTTTTTTAAAGCCAAAATTGGATTATGTGGCACTCTCCTTGAAACCCTTTTCATTGAACTCAGAATAAAATCCACATTCTTTAACCTAGACCCTTTGTTTTAAACTTTGTAAATTATAAACTTTATTGGTCTCTATACTTTATTTTGTTTTTTTTCTTTGTTGTTGGAAGTATTATAGATGTCTGTTTTTATCCCTCATTGACACCCTCTTCCCCCCGCCATTGTCTATGTCAATTAGTTATGTGTATAGTCATATAAGTTATTTGGTTTATCTCTTCCTGCCCCACCCCCACGCCCTTCCCTCTGAGGTTTGTCAGTCTGTTCTCTACTTCCATGTCTCTGGATCTATTTTGTTTGTCAGCTTAATTTTGTTCATTATATTCCACAAATAAGTGAGATCATGTGGTATTTGTCTGTCTCTGTCTGGCTTATTTCGTTCAGCTAGACTCTTAAGGCCTAGTCCTGTCATCTCGTTCTCACTTCTCACTTCTGCCTTTGTGTGCTATAGGCCTTTATTGGAGTTCCTTGAATTCACCTTCTTTCTTGTGTCAGGACATCCTCAATGTTTCCTTTGTCAGAAATACAGACTGCTTCACCCTCCATTCCTGACGCTCCCCACCTCAATTCTGCACGTATGTGGGCCATGTGCACATGCTGTCTATCTAAGCTTGTCTCATCTTTCAGCTGAAATGTCACTTCCCCAGAGAGCCCTTCTCAGATTTCCAGAAACACCTATCATTCTCTCTAATGGTTCCTTGATCTTTTCTTTTTCTAGCATTTAGAAGGATATATGTATAGTACATTTATGTGTTTGTCTAAGTTCTGTCTTCTTTATTGTAAGTCTCACAAGAGTTCCTCATTGTATATCCAGTGCCCAGCATAGAACATACCCTGGGTAATTAGCAAGTCAGTGGAAGAATATTGAAGTTAATTTTGTGGCTTTTCCTTATCATGAACTATTTATTCAACAGATGTTCAGAAAACATATTTGTGTTAGGGTGATAAGATTATGTTCTCTAATATTTGTATGTTTTGCTATTGTATGTTTTCACTGTCTCCTGTATGCAGGCAGAGTGCCAAGAGCAGTCAGAGCCAACATATCTGTTTCTGTGTGTTCGTGTAGGTTGGATCCCAGAGACCGTGGAGGAATGGAAGCTTCTTCTACTCCTTGTACAGAACAAAAGCACAAAGCCAGCACCCCAAAAGTCACCAAATGGGAACTTCAGTGATGGGCCTTCCCCTATCAATGTGGAGAATGTGGCACTGCTGTTAGCTAAGGCCATGGGTCCAGATCGGGCCTGGTCACTGCTACAGGAATGTGGCTTGACACTTGAGCTGTCAGAGAGGTTCACCAGAACCTGTGATATCCTAAGGATTGCTGAGAAAAGACAGAGGTAATACCTGTCTGTCATGCCCTTTCCATAGGTGGTTGGGGAATGTGGACCCCTAAAATTTTCAGAGGTGGATGGGACTAGAGAGATTATCTAGTCCCAACCCCTCACAACAGAGGAGGAGACTGAGACTCACCTGTTGATTAAGCTGATTAAGGGAAGAGGCTAAAGTATTATTTTATTCACAATCATGTTTGGATTAATGTGAATGAATACCCAAATCTGTGCGCCAAGTTCTTTAAGAATATTATCAGTGCCCTGGCCGGTTTGGCTCAATGGTAGAACATCGGCCCGCAGACCAATGAGTCCCAGGTTCAATTCCAGCCAAGGGCATGTACCTCGGTTGCGGATCCTCCCCGGCCCTGGTCAGGGTTGTGAGGGAGGCAGCCAGTCAATGTGTCCCTCTCAAGTCGATGTTTCTTTTTCTCCCACTTTCTCTCCCTCTCTCTCTGCCTGAAGATAAATAGAAAAATATCCTCGGGTGAAGATTAAAAAAAAAAGACTATTGGTACCAAGTACCTAATTGTCTCAATCAAGTTTTTTGTTTTTGTTTTTATTTTTTAATTCTGGTAAAGTACAGATAACATAAAATTAACTATCTTAATCATTTTTAAGTGTTTGATTCAGTAGTGTTCTATGTATCTATATCATTGTGCAGCTCAATTCTAGAGCTTTTTCATCTTACAAAATTCTCTACCCGTTGAGTAATAACTCATTTCCTACTCTACCCAGCCCCTGGCAACTGCCATTCTACTCTCTGTCTCTATGATTTTTACTATTCTAAGTACCTCATTTATTTATTTATTTATTTATTTATTTATTTTTATCCTCACCCGAGGACATTTTTCGATATTTTGTTCAGATAGAGTGGGAGGAAGAGAGAGAGAGAGAAACATCGATGCGAAAGGGACACATCGAGTGGCCGCCACCCACACGACCAACCAGGGCTGGGGACAAACTGCAGCCGAAGTACATGCCCTTAGCGGGAACCGAACCCAGGTCTCTCTGGACCGCAGGTGGATGCTCTAACCGCTGAGCAATACTGGCCAGGGCCTAAGTACCTCATTTAAATGGAATCACACAGTATTTGTCTTTTTGTGACTGGCTTATTTCACTTAGCGTAATGCCTCCAAGGTTCATCCATGTTGTAGCAAGTGTCAGAATCCCCCCTGCCTTTTTTTTTCCCATTAATCTTCACCTAAGGATATTTTTCCATTGACTTTTTTATTTTTATTTTTTTTCCTTTATATCTATTTTAATGGCCAGGAAATGGTGTAGAATAACTGCCAAGTCACATAAATTAACTTTCTGTTAATTTCTGTGGATCCTGGAAAGAAATCTCTCAGTGGATGCAAACCTGCATGTGAGTTTTCATCCATCATTGTCTGGGCACATGACTGAGCATGGTCCATGGACGCATCTTTACATTGTCCAGAAAAAAAGGCGGCTGCCTTTTTTTGGCGGGCTTCAGATATCCTTCTGTCTCAACATTGGGCTCCGGTCTTGGTCTTGAGTGATAGGGATTCTTCAGCAAAGGTTGGTTCGTTTTCACTTTGGTGACCTTGGACAGCTCTTCCAGGTCAGGTCGTACCCAGCCCAGCTTGTCCAGCACACACTCGTCAAACTTTGCCTGCTGTTTGCGACATCAACGAAATAGCTGCTGGCCAGAATAATCTATGCAGATCCAGTATTCTGTAAAAGGTTCTGCACAGTGACGCTTTATCTGCCTGAAGAACTCTAGAGCACACTTATTGACAAGCTTGCCTTTCTCTAGACACCGCCTGGGGTCTTTCTCTTCCCAGCGGCACAGTATGAACTCATCGTTGGGTTTGTCACACTGAGTGCCATAGTGATGGGCCGCAGCTTTAAGCACAGCAGAACTGACTTTCACCTCCTGCACTTTCAGATCCTCCACTGTGGGCAGCTCCACTATCCCCAGCATGATGTCAGTAGCCCTGACTCGGATGAGGCAGCCGCAGCCACATCGCCTCTGTCTCCTTGAACTTCCCTTTCGACCGCCTGACTTTTTTTTTTTTTTAAAGAGAGAGTGGAAGGGAGGGAGGGAGGGAGAGAGAGAGAGAAAAAAACAGCCATGTGAGGGAAAGACATCAAATGGTTGCCTCCTGCATAACCCCAACTGGGGCTAGGGAATGAACCTGCAACCCAGGTACATGCCCTTGACCAGGAAGCAACCTGTGACCCTTTGGTCAGAGGGCCAACACGCCAGCTGCTGAGTCAAACTGGCCAGGGCTCCCTTCCCTTTTTCAAAGCTGAATAATATTCTGTAATATGTGTATACCACATTTGTTCATCCATTTACTTAGGTTGCTTCCACCTCTTGACTATTGTGAGTAATGCTGCTACGAACATGGTTGTACAAATGTCTCTTTGAGACCCTGCTTTCAGTTCTTTGGGGCATATATACCTGGAAGTGGAATTGCTGGATCATATGGTAGTTTTATTTTTAATTTTTGAGAATCTGTTATACCATTTTCCATAGAGGCTCACCATTAACACATGTGTTCCAGTTTCTCTACATTCTTGTCAACACTGGTTATTTTCTGTTTTGTTTTGTTTCTACTTTTATAATAGTTTTCCTAATGAGTATTAGGTGGTATCTCATTGTAGTTCTTATTTGCATTGCTCTAATGATTAGTGATGTTGAACATCTTTTTCATATGTTTGTTAGCCATTTGTATATCATCTTGGAGAAATACCTATCAAGTCTTTTTATCCATTTTGTTTCATTTTTTTCTTTTAAATCCTCACCGGAGGATATTTTTCCATTGATTTTTAGAAAGAGTGGGAAGGAAGGAGGGAGAGGGAGAGAGAGAAAAACATGTGAGAGAGAGACATTGATTGGTTGCCTCCCACCCAATCTCGACCAGGGCTGGGAATCAAACCTGCAACCCCAGGTATGTGCCCTTGACTGGAATCAAACCCAAGACCCTTTGGTCCACAGGCCAGCGCTCTAACCACTGAGCAAAGCTGGCCAGGGCTTGCTGATTTTCAATCACATTGTTTGTTTTGTTGTTGTATGAGTTTTTTTTTTTTTTAATCCTCACCCAAGGACATTTTTCCATTTTTTGTTCAGGTAGAGAGGGAGAGAGAGAGAGAGAGAGAGAGAGAGAGGGAGAGAGAGAGAGAAACATTGATGCGAAAGGGGCACATCTAGTGGTTGCCACTCACATGACCAACCAGGGCCGGGGACAAACCGCAACCGAGGTATGCGCTCTTAGCAGGAACCAAACCTGGGTCTCTCTGGACCTCAGGCCAACGCTCTAACTGCTGAGCCAAACCGGCCAGGGTGAGTTTTTGTTTTGTTTTTAATATTCTCTATATTAACCCTTTATTAGATATATGATTTGCAAATATTTTCTTCAGTTCTGTAGGACAGGATGCCTTTTCACTCTGTTGATTGTCTTTTGATGCATAGCGTCAGTCAGCTTTCTGGATCTTCTATTTGTGTTGTTGAAAGTTTTTTTTGTTTTTTGTTTGTAAAGAATGAACAGTGAGAAAGAAATTTACTTGTTTCTTTTCTTTGGGATTTCAGAGCCTTGATACAAAGCATGCTTGAAAAATGTGATCGGTTTTTCTGGTCTCAGCAGGCCTAGTGGAAGAAGATTCAATAGGATATCATGACATTTTGAGAAAAATGGAATCATGCTTCTGAATCTTACAAATGCATTTATTGAAGGAGAGACACCACCTGAAAAACCTGCCACCTTATTGGGAGTACTTTGGCCAGTGTCTATAAACTCTGTATTTATGGCTTATCTGTGGCCTCAGTGTTTCTCATCCAGAGTTGAATTTTGAAAGGAATCAGTCCTTGTTTACCGATATGAAGTGTATTGGAATCAGAATGAGTGTTGACAGTCTGCAGTCCTTATTCTGAACAACAGTGTTATTTATTCCTTGCTTATGGATTGCGGGATCAGATATTTCTTATTCCAGTCACATTAAGACAAATAATATAATTGACAGGAGTTGAATTCTTTTTATATCTTGTTTGGGACAGTTGAGAAATTATTGAAATATGACCTGGTGTAGTGGAATTAACATATGAAAGAAGTAAAACACTGCAGACTCAAATGAGATATTTAAATGAAATGGCCCCATATTTAATTTGAGCTCATTTAAAATATGTTTTATCCAGTATTTGACATTTTCTAATCTTAACCTATATATAACTGACTAATTCATTACTGGAAATGTTTTATCTCTGATCTTTCCTAAACAGTGAGTAGTTCAAAGAAATCATGCACTTTTAGAAAATATTTTTTAAGTCACAATAAAGGAAGGCTAAGTACTAATAAAGACTGAAGCAAGTACTTATATTATTTAAGCCAATTACTAGATTGCCAATTGTCAGGCTCCTGTACATTTACACAGCATGTTATATTAATAATAAATGTAAAATCTGATTAAAGTTTTCATTTGAATAGACTATAGACATGAAGTTTATTATGAACAATTTGCAGGAGGGTGTTGGGTAGACTCAGTGTGGAGTAAGCAAAGTGTTGGGTACATTGAATGATTCTTTTTTTTTTTTTTCAGTTATAACACAGCCAGAGATCCATAGACAAAATTGCTGTCATACTTTCACACGATATGTGGGTATGATGTGACCAGATGGGTTAAAGAGATGGTCAGAGAAAGGAGGGTTTACAAAGCTGCTTAGAGTTTTGAGAAACCTAGTGATCTTGGTCAACAGTGTGTGGTGGTGGTGGTGTGTGTGGTGTTTCCCTGTACTGAGCAGTTCTCTACCGACTTGGGGTCCTACAGTGCAAATCAGTTCTCACACTGCCTACTGGGAGATGGCATCAGATTCTGTTGGTTAAGGGATGTTAATCGTGGCGTCCGGCTGGTGTGGCTTAGTGGTTGAGCGTTGACTCATGCACCAAGAGGTCACGGGTTCGATTCCCACATGCCCAGGTTGTGGGACCCAATCCCCAATAGGGGGCAGCCAGTTGATGTTCTCTCTCAACGATGTTTCTATTTCTCTCCCTCTCATTTTCTCTCTCTGTAAAATCAATAAAGGAAAAAAAGAATTAAAAACAAAAACAAAACTTTGTGGCCAGAAGCTTTTCTGAAAGAAAGGGTAAGTTGAGCTATGTGTTCATCAGAAAAAGGACCAAGTCCTGGGACATATAGTCCAAACCACCAGCAGCAGGGCAGGATGGAGAAGATGAACTTGTCCGAAGTCTTGGAGCTGACCAGCGGCTTTTTTATGCAGTGGTTTGGGGAAGGAAGATGTAAGTAGTTTTGTTTTGAAAGAATTTCCATTGGATAGAAAACGGGTGGGACAATGTGAAGTGAGGGCAGTTCTAGGATAGTTGCATAGTCCTTAGGAAGAATTGTTTACTGCTTCCAGTTTGGTTGTGGACAGTAGTGCAGAAAGTTTATGCCTAAGCAGGGTGCAGTGGTGTCCTGTAATCCACTATGGTTTTTTAGATAGCTGCTAGGAAGTTGATTCAAAGTATACATTCAGAAGTGTGAATAGTCTTTAGTTAGTCTCTGCTTATAGCTCTTACTTAAGTGAATAACTCCAGTTGTCTCTTTGTCCTACTCTCTGGCCAACTGTAATTGAATTTAGATATTTCAGAATTTTTCCCTTGTCAGGGCTCAGTTCCGTAAGACTGCCTTCCCCTTCAGACACCAGTCACAGTCCAGGTTGCTAACCTTGCTTCTGAGTGACTGGCTATAAATCAGAGGTTCCCACAATTCCCTCATTGGGTTTAATTTGCTACAGTGGCTCACAGAGCTCAGAGAAACTTTTTGCTTACTAGATTACCAGTTTATTGTGAAAGGATATAACTGAGGAACAGCCAGATGGAGGAGATGCATAGGACAAGGTGTGAAGAAAGGGTGAGCAGCTTCCATGCCCTCTCTGAGCTCCGCTCTCTCTGAATCTCCACATGTTCACCTAACTAGAAGCTTGGAACCCAGTCCTTTTGAGGTTTTATGAAGGCTTAATCACATAGGTGCAATTGATCAAATCATTGGTCATTGGTGATTCAACTGTCTTCCAACCCCTCTCTGATCTCTGAACGTGGGGTGTAGGGTGGGGCGAGGCTGAATCTTATGACCCTCTAATCAGGTGGTTTTGTCCACTGGCAACCAGTTCCTAGTATTAGGTGCAGTCCAAAGTCTCTCACTCACCAGTTAGGAAATTTCGAGGGTTTTAGGAGCTCAGTTTCAGAAACAGGAACCAAGTTTCAGTTTGGTAAAGAGCAGAGCCCACCCTTCACTGTCAGCTTTTGTCATTACACCGTGACTGTCCAAAGACAGCCCAGAGGAAATCTCAGAAGAAGGAGACAGCCTGACCTGGCACAACCATGCTGTCATTTCCCAACAGACGTTTCTAGGGCACATTACAGCAATCCTCATTTACCAGAAGGGTAAGAGGGAAATTTATAGCGTAAAAATGTCACATCATCAGAAATCATTTTACAAGGCAAACAAATTTTTAAAAACTCCTCTTCAGTTGAGTATTTACATTTGAACAGTCTACCTGGATATTAGGCAGTGTTTTCAAATACAACTTGTATCTCTGATGTGTGTAAAAATGCTAGACAGGCTGTGACATGGTTGTCTGACTCTTACTTTTGTTTGTACACTTGGCTGCTGTTTAACAGGGCTGCGAGGTAGCACAGTGGCAGAGAACTTGGGTTCTGAGGCTGATTGTCTGGCTTTGAATGTCTGCTCTGACTTTTCCTATCTAACTTTCGGAAGTTATTTTTGCTTCTCTAAGTTTCAGTTTCCTCATCTATAAAATGGGGATAATATTAGCACCCACCAAGGGTACTCTGAGAAATAAATGAGATAATGAATGTGAAGCATATAACAGAGTGGCTGGCACATAGAAAGAATGAGGTCAGAGCTACCTAGTAGTGGCCATTAAATGAGACTAAATATAGTGCATAGTACCTGTGACATGCTGTAGGGCTGATAAATGTTAGCTGTTGTTTAAAAGGTTTAGAATATCATCGTTTCACCCAGTAGGGATCAGACCCATGTAAATTGTTTTGTATAATTCACAGAAAATGGGAAAACCAAAGTTGAAGTACATAACTTCCTTGCACGTATTAAATTTGTCACTGTCTTGGTCAAGGCTCAAACCTTATAGTCATCCTTGCTACTTCCCCTTCTCAGCACTCCCTGCTGTAAAGAGAAAACCGTAGCCATGTCGCAGAGATTGAGCAATCGTCACGCCACACCAAGGGTAAGCAGAGCTGCAGAGTGGTGGCTGAGAGCAACACTAATGTCTGAATTTTTTATCACATCTTTTAATTGAGCTGACAGTCTGATCAAAAGGGGGGAATTGTGAAGAGAAAACACAGGCTCAGAAAGGCTTCACTCAGGCTAAAAGCACATGCTGCCAAACCTAGATTTAATACCTGATTGAATTGTACTTTCAACCTCTCCCAGAAACACAATCTTTTTAAAAAATATGTTTTTTTATTAATTATTTACAGAGAAGGGAAGGAGGAGAGAGAGAGAAACATCGATGTTAGAGAGAAACATTGATTGGCTGCCTCCTGCACACCCCCTACTGAGGATCGAACTCACAACCTGGGCATGTGCCCTGACCAGGAATTGAACCGAGACCTCTCAGTCCATGGGACGGTGCTCAATCCACTGAGCCACGCTTGGCTGGGCCAGAAATGTAATCTTGATCAGCTAGTCTGGAATTTTCTGGTTAACACTAAGGAGGTCATCTGTCGCTGTGGGTCCTTTCCATCCCCCATAGATAGAAGAGGCAATCTGCATGATAAAAACCCCTCCTGATCTCTTCCCCTAAAAAAGATGTCCTGACCCTCAGTTGAAGTTTTTTGTTTGTTTTTATTCATCCTCACCTGAAGATATTTTTTTTCATTGATATTTCCATTGATAGAAAGAGTGAAAGAGAGGGAGGGAGAGAGTGATAGAGACAGAGGGAGAGAGAAACATCCATGTGAGAGAGACACATTGATTGGTTGCCTACCAGGGTGGGGCCAGGGGTGGAACCTGCAATCCAGGTCTGTGCCCTAAACTGGTAATCGAACCCGTGACCAATTCGTGTGCAGGCCGATGTTCTAACCACTGACCCACACCAGCCAGGACTGAATTTTGTGTTTTGACTGTGTCGATTACTAGATAAATCCTCTCAATGCTATATGCTGGTGTTCTCTGTTGGTCCTATTTTTCCATTCTCTATTGCCACCACCCACATTCCCATTAGTTCTTGTCCACACAGCAGACTTAAGACGTACTTCACTTCTAAACACTGCCTTCCCACTGCCACCTCTCAGTCTCAGCACATAACGTGTCAGCAACCTTAAGTATCATCTAGTCCGCTGATTGGCAAACCTGCTACACATCAGAATCACCACGGAGCTTCTTAAAAATATAAGTGCCTGCCCTGGCTGGTTTGGCTCAGCGGTTAGAGCGTAGGCCTGCGGTCCGGAGAGACCCGGGTTCGGTTCCCACTAAGGGCTCATACCTCGGTTGCAGTTTGTCCCCGGCCCTGGTTGGGTCGTGCAGGTGACAACCACTCGATGTGTCCCTTTCACGTCAATGTTTCTCTCTCTCTCTTCCCTCCCACTCTATCTGAACCAAAAAAAAAAAAAAAAAGGAAGAATGTCCCCGGGTGAGGATAAAAAAACTACGGGTGCCAAGGATACTGCCAGATCTGGGACCTGTAGGTCCAGGGACTCATTTAGTCTGCCTCAGCTTGCCTCCCACATTGTTCCTGGGTTTACATGTAGGGTTATCCTCCCCTAAAGATAGACCAAGGCCCCTGAGAGAGAGCTTGTCTTGCTGTCCTGGAACATTAGCTGGAGATCCACTGTCAGAGTCCGTGTCCTCTTGAGGCACAGCCTTGGTCATGCCTCTTCCCAGTCAGAAGCTTTGGGTGACTCCCCTCTGCTCTCAGAATACAGCCCACATCCTTGGCTTTGGGCTTGGCATTTAAGGCATCCTTGGCATGGAGGGCATTTAAGGCCGTTTATGACCTGTTTCCAGACGTAGTTTCTCAGTTTCAGAGCCCAAGTTTGCCTCTCATCCTGGGTTCTCAGTTTCTCAGGCCCACTGTGCACGTGGTCCTCTGGCTGTGCCCCTGCTCAACCCTGACATGCCCTTTGCCCCAGAGCCCAACTGCTGAAATGCCACCACGGTCTGTCCGATTAGGTTCTGCACATCGTTTTGTTTATTTTTGGTTTGTTTGTTTACTGTAAAATGCACATCACATAAAATCTACCATCGTAACCATTTTGTGGCAGAACAAGGGGCTGGACTGTCCCCTCCTGTCATGAGCAGTAACTTTAGAGTGAGGCCAGGGCCACAGCCAGCGTCTCCCACCCCTTTGTGAGGAAGAAATCTGGGTTCAGTAAACGCCCTGAATAACAGCACAGACTTCCAGAGCTGCTGTGCCGAGAGGACGAGCCTGGAGTTTCCAGTCAGCCTGGGCTGGGGAGCAAATAAGAACACAGCGCGGCTGGACACGTCCCACCGGGAGTTCTTCCAGGGCTAAGGAAACGCTGACCAGCACAGCTCTGTCCACAACACAGAGGTTTTCCCGGAGGGCGGTTCCCGTCTTGCCCAGGAAATCCATCATTCCAGACGGGTGACCGAACCTATCTGAGGATTCAGGGACTGTGTTCCTCTGGCGAGTTAGGCGTATTCACATCTGACGCCAGAGGCAGAGCCTGGCTTCACTGACACAGTCTCGGCGTCTCACTGCCCTGGCCGTGGAGCTGTCCCCAGTGAACTGCCCGCTGCGCGGCCTGGGGCCTGTAGCTGAGCCCCAGCTTGGATGAATGCCCTGCTTTCTCTTGTGGAATTCTTAATAGTTTCTGAACAAGGGTCTGCACACTTTTACTTTGCTCTGGTACCCACGCATTCTGTAATGTCCTGGCTGCCACCGGAGATGTGAGGTGGAGCCCGAGGTGTTGCATTTCTGACGGGACCCCGGGTGGTGCCGAGGCTTCAGGTCCCTGGGCACCCTCCGAGTAGCAGTGATCAGTCTGAGGTCTGGTAGAACAGAAACTTGGAAGGAATCTGAAAGACACTGCAGAACCCAGGCCCCTGTCAGGGGATTACTCACCACAACTGTTACATGAAGCATAAATTTCTGTGTTTCGTAAGCTGCTGTACTTTTCCCCTAGGAGTTTACCCTTAATTAACTAAAGGCAGTGACGTAGAACCGTTACACAGCTTGTTCTGTTCTCAGCTTATTTAAACTGGAGTAATTTTGGAGGAATGGCTTTCTGCGAGGTGTGCCTGGGCACTGGGCTCCAGCTGGGCCAAACACCCGCTCCGGTTCTCTGGTTCCCTCCTCCCAGGCGGTGGGTGCTGCTTGGAATGACCGTCACGGTCTGGGGACTGGAGGCTGAGTTTGGGATTAGAGGAGAAGGTGCTCAGACGTGCAGCCCAGAACAGGCAGTGCAGCCCAACCTACTCGGGTTCAGCTCTGGAGTTTGGGCCAAACCCTAGCTAACAAACAGTTGCTGGTCATTGCTAGAGAAACTTACCTCCTCTAGCAACCTTGTAGCTCATTGTCCTTGGATCCCCTAACCATAATGGCCATCATTTTACTCTAAGTTTACTCCAGCTTCTAAGAAACTGCTTCTTTGGCAGGAAAACAAAAAGAAGTTATTTTAAGGAAAATATTATGCGGTGTGTAGCAGATACAGTCTTGCTGCAAGGAATGCCACCCTGTCCCTGAGCCTGTCATACATAGCCCCAAGCATGGCCTGTGCCTTCCAGAGCTCTGGGCTCCAGACCACATGCCTCTGGGGGCTCTGTCTGTGTGGGATCACAGGGTTCACGGCCGGCTCATTTCACAAGGCCATGGTATTTACATTTCTTTGTCCTTCCCAGGTGTAACCGCCCTCTCCTCTCTTGGCTAAGCAATGTATTTTTCTCTTTTTCCTTTTATTCTCAGCCTGAGATTCCATCAGTCCCTTCATTTCTGAGTGAATATACTATGTCCACACCCTGGGGAGGCTTGTGTTATTCTCCACGCTTTAGAAAGGCACAGGGTATGGTGCATCAGACGAGGCTCTGCACCCCCTCAGACCTCTGGCCCCTCACTTTCTCCAGCCACTGCTACAGTGGGGAGTTCCACGTGGCTTTGATCCTTCTCATGCCCACGCAGCCTGGCAGCACCTTGCGTTGAGTCGACTCCATGACTGTACGTCATGCTCAGGGAAACTCACTGGGCGCTCAGGTGTGCACAGCAATGACATGTCCGCAAGTGAACATAGGAGGGCCCACCCTTGGCAATGGAGATGGGAGCCAGTTGATCGATGCTCTTACCTGACTCCCGGGGTAGTGCCGAGGCACTTCTTACTCTGCTCCTCCCCCGGTTCCAGCCCCAGCTCTGGGGCCCTTACTCGTGGCCGGCTCTGTAATACGTGTTCATGCTGGCCTTGCTCTTGTCCTGTGTTACTGCCCAGTCTCTCACTACCGCAAATGACGTATGGCAGTGGCCACACGTCAGAATTCACTGGTCTAACCATGAAAAACTGCGTCTGCGGGGATCGGGTGAAGGTAACTGAACTGGTCGGCGAAGGGCTGTGGGAGCTGGAAACTGCCCCCGAATGTGGTGCGTGTGTTGCTGGGAAGGCTGTTTGAGGAGCAGGATTTTTATCTGAATCTGCATTCAAAGACAGTGGGAGCCAAGATGTGAGAAATGAATGTGGAAGCCGTTTCTTGGGGAGAATGAAAGGAACCTTTGCCGATGTCTTCAGGTTAGGGGCTGGTGTTGCAGCGGCCAAGATATCACTTGCCAGACTTCTGGGATGAGGCTCCCAGAGGGGCCACTAATGGATGAGGCTTGGAAGCAGAGCAGGGGAGAGGACACAGCTGACTGGGGAGTCAGGAGAGGTAGACACAGCGAGGCCTGGGAAAAGCACAAAACTAACCAGAGAGGCCTCAGCATGAGAAGTGAAGGTGGTGGGAGGGGTCGACACCAAGTTGCTGAGAGCCCAGGTGGGAGGGAGGCCGGGCACTGGGAGACCCCTTTTGTCAGTCTCCGCAGGTGAAGTGAGACAAAGCAGTCAGTGACTTGAGGAGGGAGGGTTTGACATAAAGAATTACTAACTAATAACAGGAGATTGGTTTCTAAGGGATAACAGATACAGAAAGGATTAAATCACAAAGCTGAGATTTAGGTTTTGTTGGAAAGTATGTGCCCACTATATGGAAGAAGTTTGCTGGGTGCTACTAGCTAAAGTTGACAAGCAAGAAACTAGAGGATCCTGCAGTGAAACTGTCTGATTAGGGGAAGGGTTGGCACAGGGTGTCTGCCCTGTAAGACACTGGGATTGTGTCCCCTACACCAAAATACACAGGCACAGGCTCAGCCTTCGTGTGGATGTTCATCCGTCACCCCTTGGTACTAACAGGCAATCCTTATAACAAAGAATAACACACAGTTTTTAACATTCAAACTCTTAAGCATTTATTAGGCAGCTATTATGTGCCTCTGTCAGCATCTGGGGATGTACAAGTCAATGACTCCTGTCCCTGACCCCAGGGGCTCACAGCCCCGTCTCCTGGGAGCAGAGTGAAGATCAGTATTTTTTGGGCAGGCCAGCAGGTCTGTAGCGATTGGGGTTGTTGCCTCTCCGGCCCCATCTGTTGGCTTCCTGGTCAGCCCTCGAGTCCCTCGTTCCATGGCCGCTGGATCCGTACTTAAACAGGTCAGTGAATCTCTGAGAACCCTCTCTGGCATCGCTGGAATGGAGGAGGGCAGGTAAGGGGCGAATCGGGGGCTGATGAGAACCAGCCCCACACTCCGAACTCTCCCCTTTCCTAGGGATTAATGACTGAGGGGAGCCAGGAAGGAAACTAAACACTGACCCTGCCCAGGCACAGCCCACTCAGCCCCGGGGAATCCCCACACATTGGGTGGACAGCACCCATAGGGGAGGGTGGGAATCACCCATTCCATTAGCCTTGCTCCGGCTCTGTCGGAGCCCACTCTGGGCATAGGGGCAGGGTTGGCAAGAGGAGGACGGGCCACAGTCTCCAGAGGAAATTTCCATCCGGGGCCACCAAGCTCTGCTCACCTGTCCTGCATCCCCAGGAGCCCAGGTACCTGATCACTTTAGCAGCCCAGGCGCCCCCTGGTCCCCTTCGTGCAGCGTCATAGTTCCCCCGGGCATGGAAGTATTTGTCTGCGTTTTTGTAATTGGCTTCTCTCATGTCAGAGTAGGCTCTCCACATGTCTTTGGCCCCTGGGAAGGAAGGGAAAGAGTGAAGTGAAGGTTATCACATCTTGGCATAATAGAGGAATAAAAGTTTCCTTCCCATTGATTCTAAGATTTCAGTTATCGCAAAGCCCTTGGAAATTATATTGTCAGGAAACACATATTTCTTTATTTTTCACTTCTTTAGGTTAATGTTATGAAAATCACATTTCTTGCCAATTTTATTCTGTTTCTCTCCATTCTAAGTTCTGCTGCTACTTTGTTCTGGCTGTGCGATGCGCGTAAAGGAGAGGTGGGATGGTCCTGAAGGGATGTGAGGTTGTACAAGGAACCTCCGCCTGGAAAGGTGCAGGGAACCCCTGACTGAGATGTGAGAACAACGGTGATTCTGAGGTTCATGGGCACAGTGCCCCCAACCTAGTCAATGGGAGACATTCATCCCTGTGAGCAAAGTGAGGACAACTGGTCCTGGGGACATCGGAATGTCTGGGCACATTTGACACCTGGGCAACTGTCGGAGTTCAATACAGGTGATAAAGGTGCTGTGTACCCTACAAGAGCTTTTAAGAAATGGGGTAATAGATGCAGAACAGGGGCAAGTGAACCACCCGCTCTAAAGTTCAGTGTCCTCCCAATAAAAGGGGCAAGTATTGCCTCTCTCAGAAGATCTGAGAAAATTCTGTATAATGCCGAGAACATTCTAGGTGCTCATTGTACCATCACTTCTCTGGTCCTTAGAAAGGGTGGGACCAAAATAAATGAATGAATGAATGAACGAATGAATAAATAAATTAATTAATTAATAAAAAGGGAACTAAACAGAGATGAAGATCAGGGAGTTATGGATGGAAGGAGTCTAATCAAGCTAGAATAAAATGGCAAAGATTTTTTAAAAAATTAAATAGGAAAAGGGCAAAATGTACAGTTGAAATGAGAGCTTATGTGATACCTCCATGAGATAAGACATGTCCATGCATTTATTCTTTCTGGTGTTCAGAAAGATAGCTTCGTTGAGAGGTACAGCATATTTACTCTGCGTTACTGATTTAAATAGATTCTCGGAGTCCAGACTTGCAGAACAAGTGTTTCAGAAATGCCCGACACATTTTGTCACTCGTGGGCAGCAAACCTGGAGGTGGCGATTCCCAGGATGTAGTGTGCATGACGTCAACTGGGGTGCTCAGTAAAGGCTGAATTTCAGCCTCAACCCAGAAATGGTCATTTAATGAAGGGGTGAGTGCGGACCCAGACATCGGCATTTCACAAAGCTCTCAGACCCCAGTGATTCTCGTGCCTGCTGTCTGGAAGTTGTGAAGTTATTCAGACGATCACAGAAAAATAATGACACAGTAAGATTCTATGAAATGAACACATTCTTGCCACTTTACAATGGGTATATAGCTCTTGCTGTCAGCTTCTGGCCAGGTCTCAGCCCCAGCAGAATCATCAACATGCAGTTCATTGTGCCTCTTATTGTAGGGGAAGGTGCTCTAGAGAAGTTTCTTTCAAAGGCACCATATCCCCACATTTGTCATTTGCTCAGATAAAGAACAGAATATGTGTTCACAAACTCCTCACTCTTCCACGTGCAGTCTTGTCTGGGAGGCAGTCTAGTACCGTGGTTAATAGTAAGGTTTGGGGAGCTCAGCAACCTGGGTTATGTCCTGCTCTGCTTCGGGACTTTGTCAGGTATCTGATCTCTCTGTGCGTTAGTTTCTGTTAGGGGGTAATGGTAGCTGCATTGCAAGATGAAGGAATAATTCCTGAGGCTGAAAACATGTTTATTCATACATGGAAATCTCTTATACCAGTGCCTAGCAGGTGTTAAAAGCTCAGTTAACCTTGGTTGTAAAGACTAAGTGGGGTGGAGTGTGGGAATACACTCTACAAGTTTGATGCACCCACTTCATGGCTACCTGAGACATAGAATGGAGCTGTTCCTGATTTCCCACTAGGGGGCTGTAGAGCCCAGTTTGTATTTAGGGAACGTGATGGCTGCGTCTAGATCTCATCCACACTTGTGATGAAAGTTGGGGCTTAAACCTAATGTGGCCTGAGACCTGGGGGTCCCCACAGAAGGATGCAAAGCTGGCCTGAAAAGGCTGGGGTTGGGAGAAGCAAGACAATCTTACATACAACTAGAAGTAAATAAGTCCTAGAGATCGAATGTACAGTGTAGTGAAAATAGACAACAATATTGCATTCTAATCATACAACTTGCTAAGAGGCTAGATCTTAATTACTCCAACTACTAAAAAGCAAAGATAATTATATAACATGATTGAAGGGCTAATTTTCTCTACAAAGGCAGTCATTGCAATTTATAGATGTATTAGTATGTTATATACCTTAAATCTACACAATGATATATATCAAATATATTTCGATTAAGAAAAAGTCTGAGGAAGCCCTGCCATGAAAACGGATTCTTTTCTACCCACTGTGGCCTTTGCCCAGTGGGGATGTGGACTCTGCTCAGGTGAATCCTGGGGGAAGCCCGATGCAGCCTCCACAGCCTCCGGTCCTTACCTTGACCAGCTTCCCTGAGGAATGTGCCCCATCCTTGGCTGCTGACACCCAGGACCAGGGAGCAGAAAACGACGATCATGGAAAGCTTCATCGTGCTGTACAGTGAAGGAGACACACCAAGAACAACACATTTTACTTGGTTTGGTTTATTTTTTCCCCAAGGGGTAATGTTGACCCATTCTTGTGTTCCAAAGATAAACCCAACACAGTTATATATATAAATATATGTAGAGAACATACAACTGTGTGTGCATATATGTGTATGTGTAGATAGATGATATAGTTAGAATTCCAGAGGCTCTAGTTCTCCATTTGCTTGTGTCTCGCTACAATCCCCGTGACTTCTTGGGTGAGAGACAGACTGCAATGGGCTTTTGTATAAACCGATTTCCATTTCAGTCATCCCCTCTCAGCCCTGAAACCCACCTGGACAGGCCTTTTCCAAAAGACATTTAGAAGTCAGTGTCCACTATACCTCTCTGTAATATGAGATGAGTTAATCTATAAATATTGGTAGGATGCTTGCTGTACCCATTACTACCTCACACAGAAGAAGCATATGACAAAATCTCTACCCCGAAATATTCACGTCTAGTGAATGCTAATTGTCAAAACAATAGACACAGGAAAGATGCAGAGAGCTTGGGAAAGCACAAGAATGCTGGCGGGGAAAGAGAATCCGCAAAGAAGAGAACTGGAGGAAAGTTCTAGCACCTCACCTTGGCTGTCTGGTGCTGCTGAGGCTCCTGGTGAAGCTGCCTGTGCCGCCTGCCTGGAGGACGTGCCTGGTGCTATATATGCTGATGCTTTGCTCGTGGGACCAATGGGAAGATGGGTTTGAAGCAATGCATTGAGATGAGGAAATTCCTCTTGGTCAGAAACCAGCATCCAGAACACGATGTTTATTGTTCACACACATCTAAGTTTCCCAGATTGTGCAACCTGGCAGCTCTCAGGGATGGAGCAAGTTGGGATTTTCTGCCCATTTTCACTCTTACACCTGGTGAGAAAGTTTGCTTTTCCCCTGCACAATAATGTGCTGCCATTTGCGGTTAAGGGTAATCAATATTAAAAAGAGATTTGACTGAAAAATGTGAGAGTACAGAGCAAGTGGAACAGCAGAATGGTCTCCATTGCAAGGGGACAGTGCAGGATGAAGCCGGGACCCTAGGGTGCAGGAGGAGGAAAGGAAGCACCGACTACCCCGGAAAAGAAAACGTCCAGCACCCACGTGGTGTGCACTCTGCCCTGGAAAAGGGAGTCCTCCAGACTCAAGTGTGCTCATGATCTGTTGCTGTGAAAGGTCCCAGTGGCAGGTTATATGTGGAGGTTCCTGTAACCCGGGAATGTTGAAGTGTAGTGTAGAAGCTTGCCATAACATCGTGCAGAAATGACACCCAGGACATAGCGACCATCTCTGAAGTCTGTTCTGTTGTAGTTGTTATAAAAAGTGCTGTGTTAGGAATAACTTTGGTAAATACAGTTTTTTAAAAATACGTGTTTTTTTTGGTCTTTTTTTATTTTTTATTCTCACCTGAGGACATTTTTGCATTTATCTTCAGATAGAGCAGGAGGGAGAGAGAGAGGATGAGAGAGAGAGAAACAATGTGAGGGAGACACATTGAGTGGTTGCCACCCACACGACCCCAACTGGCCCGGGGACAAACTGCAACCAAGGTACGTGCCCTTAGCAGGAACCGAACCCAGGACTCTCTGGTCCGCGGGCCAACGCTCTAACCGCTGAGCCAAACCGGCAAGGGCTAAAATTATGTTTTATTGATTTTTTAGAGGGAGAGGAAGGGAAAGAGAGAGAAACATTGATGTGAGAAAGAAATCGAACCCGCAACCTGAGCACGTGCCCTGACCAGGAATCGAACCAGGATCTCTCAGTCTATGGGATGGCGCTCAATCCACTGAGCCACACCAGCTGGGCAGTAAATACAGTTTTTATTATCCTATCCAGTTTTTATTATGCTATTCTTGCAGCTGCAAAAGCAGAGTGAATGTTTTCTCTTTTTTATCATGAGGGAACTTCTTTTACCTGACATTAGTTGGGGTTACAGTTTTCAAAGCCAACTGCTGGAATCACATGGCTAACCCTCAAAGATATGCAGGCTTGAGAGGAAACAGAAGCTACAGAAAAGGAAAGATTAGAGAATGATTGCGAACAGAAGGGATATGGCCACAGAAATTAGTGCCATCCTTTTCCCTTTATCTTCCTTTATATATTTTGACATGTGACCCTGGTCCACTTATCAGTTTTTATTTTGTTAATCTGTATTAATGTGGATGCATTATTTATGTATACGTGTGTGTTTGCACCGTTAGTGTTGTTCTGGTTTGTGTGTGCGCGCGAAGAGTGACAGAGGCATACATGTAAACTGTATTACGAATAGACACATGCTGCTTGTCTGTATCTCTACATTGGAATCCCAGTCGGGACAGGCACTGGGTTGTTGGTTTTTTCTACCTTTCATTATCAGTGCTTAGGAAAACGCCTAGAACATAGGCTCAATGAATGAACAGGTTCTTAGCTAAAGACTCAGGTTCCCTGGAGAAAACTATAAAAGAAGTATAAACACGTAAGCAAAAAGCAGTACTAATTTCATCAACCTAGATGGGGGGAGGCAGTGGGGAGAGTTTCTGCAGAACCTTCCTGTTTGGCCTCTAATCTGTGTTCTAAGTGTGTGACATTTATGAATACGTGAAGACAGTGGTGTAATACCCATCATTTTATAGTCTGCTTTTTCACTTAACAGCTTCTCATGATCATGTGTCCAGGTTACGACCCATACTGCCACAAAGTTGGCAGCAAAACTGAGATTCAAACCTGGTCTGTTAGGATTGAGCACGTGACTGCTTAGCCATCCTGAACTCAGCAGCATCATAGCACATCAGCAAATAAACATGCACTGTAATTGAATTCAATTATGTCCAGTACTTACTAGCTTAATAATAACTCTCCCAGTGCAGTGTTACCTGCCTGAGAGCACTGACTGTGTCCAATTCCCTGCTGTATTTTCAGGACCTAGCACTGTTCCTGCCACATACTGGGAGTTCAGTAAATAGATGTTGAAAGAGGGAATGGATATGGGAACAAGTTTTGCAAGCATCTTTATGAGAAAGGAAAAGAGGGTGGGTATTTAAAAGGTTCTGTGTTAGGAGAGAGGGATAGAAACATGATGTGAGAGAGAAACATCACTGGGCTGCCTCTTGCATGCCCCCTACTGGGGACTATTTTTTTTTTTTTTTAAAGTTCTTTGTTAGACTACTTGGTCAGTAAAGGAAGGTGACAGTGCATTGCGACTCCCTCCAGGCCAGCTCCTTCAGGAACAAGGCTCACTGGCCCAGCCTGCAGGTCTTGTCAATGTTCCCAACTCTTTCAGCAAAGGAACAAGTGGGTCATTGATGGGAGGTTTTGCAAACATGTTTTAAATGGTATGGTTTGGCAGGAGTTCATAAAAAATGAATTTGTGTGCAAAACAAGCACACTCTTCTCAGAAAGGACCTGGATTTTGTCCTTAATAATTAAAAGCAAAATCTGGGAAATTAGAGTATTGTGAAGGCTCCCTTTGCACCTAAGTTTAAAAAGCAGGCTGTTTGTGATGTCTTTCCCGGGGCCCACAGTTGAGGACAGAGAGATTCCAAGTATCCACATCCTTGGTTTAGAGAGAGAGAGAAACATTGATGTGAGAGAAACATCTATTGGCTGCCTCCTGCACGTCCCCTACTGGGGACCGAGCCCACAACCTGGACATGTGCCCTGACCAGTAATGGAACCCAGACCTCTCAGTCCATGGGACAACGCTCAATCCACTGAGTCACACCAGCCTGGCAAAACCATATGTCTTCATTTAATTGGTAGCATTGTTTTCTTGGTGGTATATAAATAATGATGTGTCTTAGCCTTTTCACCATATACCACGATGACTAATAGTTTATTACACTTTGAGGTCCTAATTTTTTTCCTATGAGAGCGCATGCAAAGCATTTCTAGAGAAAATAAATTTATACGATAGAGTTATGTTATTTTGGTTTGTATCTCAGTAGATATTTTGGTATGGATTTATGTTGCCACTCTTAAGTGACACATTACCATGTTCTGTGAGTCAAAACTTGTATCAAACATGCATGCTTTCTACAACTCCTAAATCCTCCACCCATCTGTCAACTTCTGAGCTACACTTCTATTTCATTCATTTCAACAAATACTTATTAAGTCTATACTATATGCGAGGGGCTATGATAGGTACTGTGCCTACAAGGATGACATACAACAAAGTAGACATGCCTTTTCCCTTGGGTTTCCTGCCTACATGCTCTGAAGACAGATGAGCAAATGGGCCAATGCAGTGGAGTGTGATGAGTTCAGGGGCATCCCATACAGCAACAGCAAGTGCAGCTGACTCCCGCAGGTCTCTGTCCTCCCTCTCACGTGTTCTCAGCCCCTGGCCTCATTCTCATTACCTTTTTTCCTTTCTCAGAGCAAGAGATGTTTTTGCATGCTTTGGAGTTAACCACTCCCTGTGGGCTTCATCCCACTGTCTCTTGCTTCCTCTTGAATCTGGTGTTATTCCCTCTTCTTTATCTTGATTGTCTCTCTCTTCATTAGCTCCTTCCTGCTCCTTATAACTAGATTGACCTATTATGGTAGAAAACCATTTTTTAGTAACTAATAAATTAACTCAATCATTCATTTATTCACTCAATAAGCATTTGTTGAGAGGCCATTATCTGCCAGGTACTGGCATGGTGCTGGATATTTAGGGGTGAACAAGACAGAAATGGTCACTTCTCTCATTGATTTTATACTCAGGGGAGAAGAGGGGCCAAAAGATAATCTAAAGAAAAATCAGAAGAATAACCAAGAAATTAATAAAATCATCCATCCCACTTATAGAAATTGTTAAGAAGGAAAGAATATGCAGGATAAGTCAGCCAGGGTGATCAGGGAAGGTGTCTCTTAAGAAAGAGTGATTTAGAAAAGACCCACAGAGTGAGAAAGGTCCAGCCACGTCAAGAGCGAGTGGAAGAGTGGTCTGGGTCGAGGGAATTCCATGTGCAAGGCCCCGAGGCAAACAAGAACTTGGCTTGCTGGTGGGATTTGAGAATGGGGAGCGTGAGAAGGTGTGCCGTGAGATGATGTTGAAGGTTCCAGGATCAGATAGCACTGTGCTGGGTGGGCCAAGACAAGGGCTTGGACTTTATTGTAAGGGAGATTGGAATCCATTGACGGATTTTAAGCAAGAATTTTAAGAGATGTGATCTGGTTATTATTGTATGCTAGACTGAGAGGTAGGTTAACTACATGCTTTGTTTTGCTAGGGAATTCTAGTTTATTTCTGTTATCTGGATTAATTGTTAATAATGCCCCTTTTCACTCTGGAAAGGGGCTTGGTTTGGATGATAAATCAAATGTCCACTAGACTAAATGAGGAACCATGTAAATGGGGTGACTAGCTAGACAGCTACTGCAGTAAGCCAAGTGAGAAATGATGCATGGGTGTATTTGGGATAGTGCCGATGGCTAGAGGGGGATTTTGGAAGTAGAATCACAGGACTTGCCAGTGGATTGGATATGGGGGTGAAGGGAAACAAAGTATCAAGCACATTCCCTAATTTCTGAGGTGAGCAATAGAGAATGGCCCTGTCATTTACTGAAATGGAGAAACCTAGTAGGTGAGCATTCTGGAGAGAAATGAGAGCTCGCTTTGGGACATGTTAAGTTTGAGGTCTCTGGAAGCCATCCAATCAGACATGTCAAGAGGCCCATTGGATATGCAAGCATGGAGCTCAGAAATGAGGTTCCGAGGTAGAGATATAATTTAAGAGCCATCAGCATATAGACACTATTTACATTTGTTTGAGAGGATAGGGAAATAAAAAGT